GTGTAGACCCAGGCATGGGATGTAGTTTGTCTTTGCTGCTGGGGCCATTGGTGAGAGTTCTTTGTTTCCTTGGGAGTTGTTTCAACAGCACTGTTCTGGAGAGTTCCATGTCCTAAGCAGAGCTCCAGTGAGTTGAGGATATTTCCTACTCTTGGGCACTGGGGAATCCTATTTTGTCACTTTGTGTTGCTTTTCTGAGGCCGTGGGAAGTGTAGCATTATAGAGCTGTTGGGCTTTCCTCCACGATTGCTGATCCTAGCTCCTAACACGTGGGCTGATCTTTTTAGCTTTATTCTCTTGGGTAAGGACTGTTGATACTCAAACAAGGATCTTAACCTGCCTGAGTCCACTTTGCTCCACCTCTCTTCTCTTCTCTTGGAATGATTTCCTAATCTCCTGGTGACTCACCAGAGTCATCTCAGAGCCGGAAGAAGTGGAAAAGTATTTTCCAGCCAGAAGAACTGGAATATTGGCTCCTGCACTTCCCAGCTCTGTGGTTTATGCCAAGTCACTAACCTCTCGGGGATTTAGACAGGCAATATTGTTATCCTGAGATGATTACAATGAAGGAATATCTGCATACCCTCCATCACTAACCCTATGCTTGCAACTGCCTTGGACTCGAACCAAGGTCTTTTCTTCCAGAGACTGTAGGATTTTGCTCATAACCCTGCCCTGTTGCTGGTTTCTGAATCTGAGCTCTGACACATGAAGTCTCCCTGAGATCTAGCGTAAGAAATACTGCTTCATAAAATAAGAGACATGTGAAGAGCGTCTGTACAGTGCAACTGCTAAATGTGCAGAACTTATTGTAGCTGCTGTTCATATAATTCAGTAACACAGCAGCCTGCTCAGTTTAGGTAGGAACATTCCTGAAGGCCCTACTTGATGTGTTTATTCTAGTAAGAAACAAAATAATCAGGGTAGTGTGTCTTGCGCAGCATTATCACATTCTACTGCATATTGGTGGTGTTTCTTTCTTGAGATAGTTGACTCGTATTTCACGATAATCCTCTTGCAAAGAACTCATTTTCTCATTTATAGTAACGATAACTAGGAGAGGAAGAGAGTATTTTTGAGGTTAGTTTGCATACATTTTCCTGTGGTTTCTAAAGGACCAGAGATTTGGAAAAAGGAAGCAAATATTTTGGCTAATGTGGCCAAATACTCTTTTTTTGTTGATAAATTAAGATAATCAGGTGTTCTACCTTCTGCTACTTCCTTTGTTACTTTAAAAATGTTCATTGCCCATGGGCTCAGCACAATAGGCTGAACTCGAGGAAAAGCCCACAGACATAAGTACATCAGAAATTAATATTAGAGACAAAAGATTAAGAATCCTGTAACAGTCACGGTCTGTTTTGTTTTGGTGGACTCTGATATTTCACACACTAGGAAGAACAACCCTACACCACTATTTGCGACTGGAGGGAAAGACGGCTACTGCCTCTTACTGTTTGTAGTGCAGTTTTCTCTTTAACATGTGACCTTTTAAACACTGGACATTGCAGCAGTAGCCTTCTCAGTTGAATTTCAGCAGTGAGCCAGGAATGTAGAAAATCCTTTGAGAGTGCTTGCCCTCGTTGCTACCAGCTTGCAATAAGACAGCCTACGGGATGCTCTGGCACTGAAATGATGAACACTTTCCAGGAGGCACTTCCGAGAAAGCGGTTTTTGGCTAGTGAGTTGGCACGTTGGTGGTGGTAGCAAAGGTATGAGGTGCATGTCCTATCTTTGGCCTGAAAGACTAATATGCCAGAAGCAACCAGGGGTTGAAAATTTCAAGGTAAATAGCATTGCGGTTGGATATTTAAGGGGAGAAAATGAGAAGAGAACTTAAAATAGGGGTAGACTTGGCTAGTCTAGAACCAAGAGAATTTGCCAAGAAGAACCATTTTTGTTAGTGCTATAATCTATTTGGTTTTTATTTATCTGAAAAGCACAGAGTGATCTCCCATTCTCTCGTGCATTTCGCAACAGTCTGTGCTGGGCCAGGCCTATACCAGGACTCAGGAACTCAATGTGGGCTTCTCACATGATTGGCAGGGATTCAAGAATTTGTGCTATCCCCTTTCTCCTCTGATGAAGTGTGTTAGCAGAAAATGGAGCAAGGAGGAGAGCTAGAACCCTAACTCAGCACTGCGATATGGAAACTGGGCATCCCAAACATCGGCTTACCTGTTATGCTGATTACATGTTCATAAGAGAAATATTTTTAGATGGGTACAGTGAAGAAACCTTAAAGTTGTCTTCTACAATCTTTTTTATGTGGTAAGCACCCCTACATGAACTTGGAGAAATAAATGGCCATGAGACCTTTAAAAAACTACAGCCCGATTAAAAAAAAAAAAACATTTAGGAGTTTATTTGAGCAAACAATGATTCATGAATTAGTCAACTCCAAATCTAAAATAAGATTTAGGAGTTCAGTAAGGCGACAACAGAGGGACGCGTAATAGGGGGATATGGAAATAATGCAAAGAAAATATTTGATTGGTGATAGTTACACATTGCTGTAGACATTTGCTGTGTGGTTCTGATCTGTGAGCTTAGTTTCTGTTTTCTTAAGTATAGGCGTTTTCAAGAATAGCTCATGAAGGTTTGTACATGTTTGTATACCAAAGAAGGTCAGTTAGGAGTCCTCATTGACTTTATCTGCTCTGAGATTCTGCATGCCTTATCTCAATTTTAATTTAGCACTAACAGGCTAATGCTATGAAATAAGTTACTGTGAAACTTTGGCCCTTTGGTTACAATCAACTATGTATGTTTCTATTGGTATAAGAATTTTGAATCCCATGCATAGAAACATCTTTAAAACATTTGTAGATTGAGTATTTAATTGAGCAGTTAAGATGTTCTCTCATCAGAGCGCCTCGGTTTGATGCCCTGCATGGGTTTCACACTCTAGCTTCTTCTAATTCTGATTTTGGGAAACAGCAAGTATGTCTCAAGTTGCTGGATTTCTGCCACTCGTGTGGATCCGTGTCTCGGCTCCTGGCATAAGCTCCTGCTATAGACCTTTGCAGGCACTTGAGGAGTGAGTCAGGTTTGGAAGCTGTCCCTGGCTGTCTTTGTCTTTGTCTCGTCTCCTCTGAGAAGGAAGGAAGGAAGGAAGGCATAAATGCAAAAAGGATTTATGGATCCATTTTTCCTGCACTAAAACTTGTTTTAATTTTATAATTTATTTATTTGAAAGACTGAGACACACAGAGAGAAGTCCTCTGTTTACTGGTTGGCTACAATGGCTAGGCCAAATTCAGGAGCTAGGAATTCAATTCAGGGCTTATACAGGGGATGCAGGGGCCCAAGCACTTGGGTCGTCTGGTGCTGCTTTCCCAGGTGCTTTAGCTGGGAGCTGGGTTGGAAGTAGAGCAGCTTACATTTGAATCCATGCTCGTAATGGGATGCTAGTGTCACAAGCAGTGGCTTAAGCCCCTGTGCCAAAATGACAGCCTTTACCTTTAAATATTTTTTAAAGATTTATTTATTTACTTGAAAAACAGCCTCTCTCTGTCTCACACACACACAGAAAATGAGATTGAGAATTTTTGATTCACTGTCTTACTCCTCAAATGGCTACAAAAGCCAGAACTGGACGGGGTTGAAGTGAAAGTTCCATCTGGGTTGTCAAAGGGATGGCAGGGACCCAAACTCTTGGGGGTCTTCTGCTGCTCTCCCAGGCATCTTATTAGGAAACCGGGTCAAAAATATGGTAGTCAGTACTTGAAAATAGCACTCCCATATGGGATGTTGTTACAAATGGTAGCTTAACCTGTGAAGCCACCAAGTTGGCTCCAGAAATGTATTTTAAATTTCAGTGTTCCATGAGATTTTTGAAACAACTTTGTATGTCTTTTTAAAAAAAGTACTTATTTGAGTGGCAGGGATGCTGGAAAGAGAATGAGAAGCAGGTTGGGGCAGGAGATATAAGCGAAGCACATTTATCTCTTGCTAGTTTCTTCCCCCAAATACCTGCGATGTCCCCTGGCTGAAGCTAAAGCCAAGAATTGAGAAATCAGTGCGTGTTTCCCATACAGGTGGCAAGAACCCATTCACTTGAACCTTCACTGCTGCCTCTCAGGATCTGCCTTAGTTAGCAGAAATTGTAGCCGAGAGACCAAGCCTGGCATCCAACCCAGGCACTCCAACATGGGAGGCAAATGTCGTCGCCAGTTCAGATCTCTGTGTCCAAAGTCCAGCATCCCTTGTGCATCCTGAGGAACCTCCCTTCAGTTTGCCTGTTAACAGATGCACAAGTCACTGCTCTTCTCCTTTTTTTTCTCCCTATTATCATCCTTTTATCTTTTCCTCCCATTTCTGTGTGTCCATGGCAAAAGGAGAAATGGGGCTCAAGAATAATTTGTGTACTCAAAAATTTTAAAAAAGGACCCACAGATTTCTTTTTATTTCATTCTCCTGCTGCTTTTTTTGGGGGGGGAGGGGGTCAATTCAACTTTCTTTAGGACAATATTTACTTTAAATGTATATAGACTTTGGAAAATTATGCTTTCACTGAGTCTCGTTTTTGGCCTGTGTTTTGCACGGGATGTGCTGTCCTTAGTTGTTCAGAGATAACAGACTGCCTTGCCTCCTGAAGGCTTTCTTCCTGACATTCTGGTTTACTCTGATGTGTCTAAACTCTCTTGCTTGCTGACTAGTAGTCTGTATTTGTGAGGCCCTTGATAAACAGTGCAAGCTGTGGAGAGTGACCGTGAATAGCAAACGTAATTTGGTTTAATGTGTTTTGGCTTGCTTGACCTCACCAGAGTAAGAGTGTGCCTGCTTGAATTATTGTACTGGAAGTTACAAAAGAAATTTCTAGAGACGCTTATCTCATTGGAAGTATCCCAGGATTGTTTTAAGGAAGTTTTAAGTCCATGTTTAATGTCAGATAGACTTGAGAAATGTTGAACATAGAGATTAGATTTTTGTGAGTTCTGGAATTTCGGTCTGAATTACTATTTTTTTTTAACCTTGCTACTTTTTTTTTTTTCTAGACAATTGGCTGGCAACGACCTTTCTTTTATCCACCCAAAGGCCTTGTCTGGGTTGAAAGAACTCAAAGTTCTGTAAGTAATGCAATTTTAGAGTTTCACAGCTGGCTCTGTATTTTCTTTCTGCATAGTCAATGTGCTTAGAGCTAGGTTAAGCACAGTTTCTTTTAGTTCAGGATTAAAAGATTTAACGAGTGGCAAGTGCGTAGTGTGGGAGGCTAGAGGTTGATTTCAGCAACCTTGATTCTAGATAACAAAAAAGGTCGAACTCTAAATTACTGGCATTCTGATCCCCAAGACACGACAGTTGAATGTTAGACTTTTTTGTGTGTGGCAATGAAAATCATATTTAAACTCTTCTGGTAGGATTTTATTTCTACTTATTTCATCACTATAACAATGTTAAATTCGCTGATCCTATAGGGGGAAAGTTTTATAAAGAACTTCAGATCTTAAACTCCTTTAGCATTAAAGGGATTCAAGTGCCTAAAATTTATAGAGCAGGTGAAAGATTAGAAAACATGTTTTCCTTTTTTCTAAAGATTTATTTATTTTACTTCAAAAAGTTGCAAAGAAATGGAGAGATATCTTTCATTGTCAGGTTCACTCCCAAGATGGTCACAACAACCGGAGTGGACTGTTCTAAAATAGGGAGCCAGTAGCTGCTTCCATGTGTCCCATGGACTTCTACAATCCTCTGCTGCTTTTCCAGGCCATACGAAGGGAGCTAGATCAGAAATACAGCAGTCAGGACACAATCTGATGCCCACATGAGATGCCGGCACCATACTAGAGGATTAGCTTGTTATGCCACCACACTGACTGCAGGAAGTTTATTTCTAGCAATGAAAAGGGGTCTGCTGAGTGAAAGATTGGGGAACAGGTGAGCAAACTCATCCCTATCCTGACACAGTCTTGTTGACCATGCACAAAGTGAGCTTTTTACCATTCTACAGTTATGGTTTATTTTTGGCAGTCATTTTGTTAATGTGATATCAATAGTTTTAGGCAAATATTTCATTTTCCTGAATATATACATATATATATATACATACATACAAATGTGTATATACATACATGCGCCTCATTTTCTCATAATTCATACTTATGAACAATTTCAAGACCTCTCCTGCTGTTCCCTGGCTCATTCCCCAAATGGCTGCAACAGCTGAACCAATCCAAAGCCAGGAGCCAGGAGCTTCTTCCTGATCTCCTCCCTGAATGCAGGGTCCCAAGGCTTTGACCATCCTCCACTGCTTTTTCTAGGCCTCAAGCAGGGAGCTGGAAAACAATTGGAGTAGCCAGGACAAGACCCAGCACCCATCTTGGATCCCAGGGCTTGAAAGTGGAAGATTAGTCAACTGAGCTATTGTGCCAGGCCCCAAAATTTATTTTTTGGTTTGGGTTTATGCTTCTGTTCTCCAGGCACTATTAATTAGATAATTGCATTCCTTCTGCTTGCTGAGAGCCCAAGGTTTGCTAGCCTGTTGGCAAAAGTTGACGTATATGGGCTTTGTATAACTAAATTTTGCTTTCTTCCAATTTGAGAAAGCATTAGAGAATCTGGTCAGTTTGTTTATTGTATCTCCCAATGTACTTGTTATACTTTCAATTAATGTTGAGTAACAGTACCACAGACAACCACAGTTACCAACCCCTGCCAATGTGATTTGCCCAGTAAGTCTGTGTGATGATATGGCTTGGAGAGCAGCATAGGGTTCCTTTCTTGTTTTACAACAGATGATTCTTGCTTTTTTTGTGAATTCTCTTTTTGTTGGATACTTGCCATCTTTGCTCTTTTATCCTTATCTTTATCTCTCTCTTATTTTTGTTTTGGTTATTGTTAATATTATTTGGAATAAACCGTCCTGAATTAAAAAAAAAGTTAACAATTTCATGTTATTCACTAACCATGAATTTCCTTCCAGAACCCTCCAGAATAATCAACTGAAAACTGTACCCAGTGAAGCCATTCGGGGACTGAGTGCATTGCAGTCTTTGTAAGTCATTTTTTGGTTTTGTGCATTCTTGATTCATTAAGAGACCACTTTGTTTTACTAACTGTGTAAGGAACTAGAACCCAAAGGAAAGGGAAGATTTGTCTTCTCGTCTTGGATAAAAATGAGGGTGGCAGGTGGCTGTCAGGAAAATATCTTTTGGGGAGGGAAGAGGTGTTTTCATTTATGCCTCTGTGTCTCAGAGGCTCGGAGAAGCTGCCAGGTGTCGAGCTGGGTGTACTTCCTTGAGCTGGTGTGTGGGTGATGACCACACCTCAACGAACATCATGAAGACAGTCACAAAATGGTTTTTGTTTTAAGGATTCAATAATAATCAGATGAACTGATAGTTATTTCTCATCTGTGAATATTGAATACATGTTGGGGAAAGTTAAATAGCCTGAGTTTGTATTTGAGAAAAATGTGATTTTAAATGGACAATTCAGAGTATCGTCTCTTCCTTTTTACTGCTTACTGTCACTAATGTCAAAAGCTTTTTCAAATAGTGCTTTTTTTCTGCCTTTCTATATGTGAAGAGTTTGTTTTTTTTAGTAGAAGTTCCAATTGTTTTCCATGGATTAAGTACATGATAGGTAATGAGCAAGCTATTGTTTGGAGAATTTTTTTAATAACTGTCCCAATATCACGCAGCTAGTAGGAGCAGAGTATGAATTATAAAACCAGGCCAACATGTTTCAGAATTCTAATTAATCTAAATTTATTTTGAGACATTCTAGTAGTTAATGGGAAGTAAATATGAAAATATAGATGTGTTAATAAGAAACATGTTATAAAATATGAACTTTAAAATGAACTTAATGCCATAAGTAAGAGGTATTCAGGGTATTGGTCATTTAGTTTGTAGTCTAAATCAAAGTTGAATTTAAAGCACAGTTTATTAAGTTGCTTATTTCACTTAAATGGTAAGTTACAGAATATAAGCTATTATTCATCATAGTTAATTGGGAAGGTTCCTTGTAGACTCTTAAAATGAATCCATTGGCAGAATAACAGAAATAGCATTTTGCCAGTTCTATGCCATTTCTTACCTGGGGCAGATGGTTGGGGAAGAAGTCATAGACCTCCTTGGACCTGAATTCATCACACAATTTTTACATTGGTCTTGTTTCTGTTGCTTTTTCAGAATTCATTCTACTTTAAGTTCATCATGCTGAGTTGTTTCCCAAATTAATGATCTGAGTATCCATTTAGTTCATTTGAAGAGCTTAAAAAAAAACCAAAACCACTACATTCTTTTTTTTAAAATTTATTTATTTTTTGGAAAATTGGATTTACAGAGAGAATGAGAGACAGAGAGAAAGATCTTCTGTTCACTGATTCACTCTTCCAATGGCCACAGTGGCTGAAGATGAGCAGATTCAAAGCCAGGAGCCAAGAGCTTCTTCAGGGTCTCCAGTGTGGGTGCAGGGTCCCATGTCTTTGGGCCATCCTCTACTGCTTTCCCAGGCCACAAGCAGGGAGCTGGATGAGAAGTGTAGCAGCCAGGATAAAAACCATTGCCTATATGGCATCCTGGCAGATGCAAGGCGAGGACTTCAGCCACTAGGCTATCATGCGGGGCCCAAGACTGCATTCTTATTTTCTAATTTAGAACACAAAAATCACAGAACAAGCATTGAAACAGTTCTAATTTGTGGTCAGTAAGTACATGTGACATGTACTGATGATGTAGAGGATTTAGAGTAGTATGTTTCACCAAAATCAATGGGTTTAGAAAAATTTGTGCTTCTTATTCATTAAATGAGTTATTTGATTTAAATTATCTCCAAAATTGCAATGAGGATGAAGTGTGGAGTAAAAACAGACTTAGAAAAAAATGCATTGATTTGTTTGCATATGTATCAGAAATGCAAGGACTTGCTATCTCAAGCCTGTTTTATTTAAGAAGAAAATGTTCATGGGTTTGTTAGCATAGTGGGTGCAGTGGTCGAGTTAGATATAATTGACTTTCTGTCCTGTTGTAAAACAGTCTTATCAGCACTTGAGGCGGTTTGAAAATCTGATCTTCAGACCTGAATTACATGAAAGATTTCCTTGTGGTTTTAAACAGGGTTTCAAAGGAGCAAAGTTCATTAGGAGTTGAAATTGCCCAGAAGTGGTTTGATGCAAGTGTGTACTTGATGACTGTAAAATCTGAAATTGAATTGTTGATATTAATTAAAACGATAGTATAACATTACCATTTCCCTCAAAGCCATGGAAATGGTTAAAACATTAGTTGAGCAAGGTACTAAAACAACATGTCAGAATTAGCTATACTAGAATTTTTTTCTTTACATTAGATCTCATTGACAGTAGATATTAAAAGATTTTTAAGGTGGAATTTGCTGCATTTTTCTTAATTTTAAAGAGTTTATGGCTATAATATTTATATACATTCAAAAGAATACATAAATTCAAAAGAAGGATGAAAAGGTATTTTCATTACACAGCAAAAGCACTGTTTATTGAGAACAGACTGAACAGTAATTATCTACATTTAGTGCTATCTTATTACTGTAATTTAAGACATGACATAGAAAAACACATGCACTTCAGTCAGATGTAAAACAGGCTTTAAGAATGGGAAATACTGGGGCCCGGCACAGTGGCCTAGCAGCTAAGGTCCTTGCCTTGAACGCACCGGGATCTCATATGGTCGCCGGGTCTAATCCCGGCAGCTCCACTTCCTATCCAGCTCCCTGCTTGTGGCCTGGGAAAGTAGTCGAGGATGGCCTAAAGCCTTGGGACCCTGCACCCACACGGGATACCCGGAAGAGGTTCCTGGATCCTGGCTTCGGATTGGCGCAGGCGCAGCACCGGCTGTCGTGCTCACTTGGGGAGTGAACCATCGGACAGAAGATCTTCCTCTCTGTCTCTCCTCCTCTCTGTATATCTGACTTTCCAATAAATAAATAAAATCTTAAAAAAAAAAAAGAATGGGAAATACTAGCACATTTTAAGGGAAATGAGAACGGAATTCAGTTAATAGGCTGTTAGCCTTGTAACCAGAAAATTGAACTTTTAAGTTATAGTTATCTTCTTATATAGAGTTTAAATAGTAGAATATATCATCTCTCCACTTTGTAAGATATCTGATGCTATCTAGCATCTGTTGAGTCAACTACAGCCTTTTCCTGATCTGTTGGTTAGAATGAATAGGACTAGTGTAGATCACTAGCACAGAGCTACAGTTTCAAGATAATTTCTTTGTGAGCATTGATCTCCAGGAAAGGGCAAACATTCATGGGTGTGTCATCAATACTCACCTGTGAATTGAGGTGGGAGGATTAACTATTGAACCACCAAAACTTTTTTTTTAGTTGGAAAGTCAGATTTATTATTATTATTATTTCATTTTATGACACAGTTTCTTAGACTCTGGGGTTCCCCCCAACCCCTTCCCAAACCTTCCCCCGATATTGAATTCCTCCATATTGTTACAGTAGTACAGTTCATTACCAGTCATGATTCCTTCATTGAAGGCATGGACCATGAAGAGTCCAGCATCTTATTGTCCAGATGGATTCACCAGTTTCATTGGGAGACCATCCTTGGTCTGAAAGTAGAGGTAGCAGAGTATCATCCCCTCCAGTGAAAAGCCATGACACAACTTCAGCAACAGGAAGAAACATGGAAATTTACAACATCGTGAAGTTCATTAAGTGACCAAAGTATTGAGTGACCAAAATGTTAGAAAATGCAAGTTTTTAACCACATCCAGTAACTACTTCATTGACATATCAATTTTAGTATATATATAACAGGCTGCTATATACCTTAATACCTATATACCTTATTTTCATTTTTATATTTAGCAGCTTATAGTATTCAGGCATGATTTTTACTGAACTTTTTAACTAGTGTAACAGTGAGAAAATGGAGAGCTACTTTAATTTGTAGTTTAAAGCACAATCTAAACCCCTTGTCTGTTCTCCTGGGATTTGCACAATCTGAAGCCTGTTCACATCCCAGCTATGTCTCCTGGGACCTTGCAGCACTAGCCTCCTCGAAGGTTCTGACCACTCTGACCCTCTTGGGTGTGTGAATCTCACCAAGCTGGTTTGTCAAACAGGATCTCTGCCCTTGCTCTTTGTCTGAAACATTCATTGCTTAGCTACTGTAGACACTGCCTCTTGCTCAGTTTTTAAGTCTCAGTTTAAGTATCTCCTTCTTAATGTCACTTTTCCTAGTGAAGCACATTACAAATAGTTACAACTTTCCCTGTCATCAGTTTCCATCAATTTTTAATTCCATTGCTATGTTTGTTTACTTTATAGCATTTTTTAAAATTTTGGTAGTCATTTAGCAATTTGTGTATTTAATTGCTTGCCTTTCCTTCATTAGAATATCAGTCTCAAGAGGTCAGTCCTCATGCCTGTGGAGTTCAACATTTAATCCTTTGTGTCTAGCAAGATGCTCAATTTAAATAGTTTCTATGAATTGCAGATAGATTAGCTAAAGTATGGATTTGTTGCATTACATGGTTAATTTGAATGATTAGGCCAGGGAGTATTTACAAATTTCAAAGAAGATATGTGTATTACAAATTACTCATGTATTCCAATGTTTTTTGCTCCTCAACAAAGTTACTTATTTTAAATTGTATCTAGCATGATGTGTGAGATGGCCACTCATATCCTTTATGTCTATGTCTTAAGAAGGAGAGTTCCACTCTGTGCCTGGGTTTGTCTGTTTGCATACATTCTGTTCCCCCATTAAAGGTTTCCTAAACAGCACTGTAGCCAGTACATTGGCCAGTCTGTTATATAGAGGATGTATGTCTCTTTCCCATGGTAAGTTCTAGAAAGTCCAAGTAATAAATCTGCAAATACTTGTTTCTAAGCAGAGTTTATGACAGCTGCTCACTTTCCTCTGGTTTCTCTTTCTTAAGTGTTCTTTCAGTTATCTTGCCTCTATCTAAAAGAAAGCCTCCAAGAGTCCTTATCAGTGGTCTTTAACCTCTGCTAATCCACCTGTGGGCAGAATGCCTCTGGGAGTCAGAGCCTTTGGGAATGGGCCTGCACCTTGCTTGGAGGATAAAGGGATAATTGTGGCAGGAGCTGAAGTTAGAGTAGTATGAGTCAGGAGGCACAAAAACCTCTCCAAAACTCGGAACTTTCTGGTGCTAAGAGTTGCCAAACTCTAGTTCTTTAAAAACATGTTGTCATTTTTGAGTTCCCATCAGGTGGTTTTTTTTTGTTTGTTTGTTTGCTTGCTTTGTTGTATTCCGGCTGCAAAACTTGAATGTAACTGCTGATAAGCATATAGCAACAAGGGATTTATGGATAAAGCTGGGTTTTGTCTGGCCACACCATCCTTCATCATATTAAGTCCAAGTTGTGTGTGTGTGTGCTGAAAACTGATTATTCCAATGAGTAATCTAGTTGTGCCAACAATAATAAACTTGGCACCTTGTTTTCAGATTTTTGGATGAGGAGTTAAATTTAAGGATGAATTATATTATTAATATGTTATGCCTCATTCCAATTTTTTTTTAAATTTATGCCTTAAGTTCAATATTATTGACTGAAGGAGCTGTTTAATTTTTCATGAGAACAATTTCACTTTACTAAGTATAATTTTGGAAAACAAATGTTTCAAATGTATTCAGTGCTAAAAGGAGAGAAGGTTGCCTTGCAGTGATAATATGGATCATGGAGAGTCTATTGAAACGGCTTGTTGTTGTGGGAAGTTTGTACATATTTTCTAAGCCTTATTTTCTTAGTATGAAATGAGTAGCAATTATGTTTATCTCAAAAAATCAGATCTGATTTAATATTGTAAAAAAAGGTAGTTATTTGCTCAGCTTGTTTTCTTCTTGCTTTTCTCTATTTTTGATAAGTTTCCATCAAAGCAAAGAATTCCAATTGGAACTGTGTCAGGGTTCACTTTTTTCTTTTCAAATGATTCTTTCCACTTGCAAGTGACTTCTTATACAAACATGGTTGAGGGATTAAGTTTGGATCCATGCTTTTGTTATGAAGAAAGGCTTTCATTACTGTCCTTGGATTTTTATGAGAACTTCTAGTAAATGAAAGAAAGAGGTAGTTCTTGTGAATCCCCTATTTTTAGAAATCTCTGCGAGCCTGTGCCGTGGCTGCACTCATTCCTTAACGCGCTTGTTTCTGTTGGTGCCAGGCGTTTGGATGCCAACCATATTACCTCCGTCCCCGAGGACAGTTTTGAAGGCCTTGTGCAGCTGCGGCACCTGTGGCTGGATGACAATAGTCTGACCGAGGTGCCTGTGCGTCCCCTCAGTCACTTGCCGACCCTGCAGGCCCTGACCTTGGCTCTCAACAAAATCTCCAGCATCCCTGACTTTGCATTTACCAACCTCTCAAGCCTGGTTGTACTGTGAGTATCCAACCCTTTGGGGGAATGAGGAGGCAAAACAGGCTTCCTATAACACATTATGTTAGGAAATTACCTCACTGATCTTTTATATAGGGGTGCTGATTTTGTAATGTGAATGAGACAATCTTTGAATTTTAGTACTTGATAGTAACTGTTGAATCTCCTGAAAATAAATGACCATTTTTTAAAAGATTTATTTTGTTTCTATTTGAAAAGCAGAGTTACACAGAGACTAGGAGAGATGGTGAGAGAAAAAGAGAATCTTCCATCTGCTGGTTCACTCCCCAAGTAGTCACAATGGCTGGAGCTCAGCCAATCTGGAGCTAAGAGCTTCTTCACATAGGTGCAGGAGCCCTAGGATTTGAGTCATCCTCTGGCTACCATCAGGGAGTTTATTTGAAAGTGGAGCAGCAGGCACTAAAACTGTCTCCCCTATGGGATGCTGGCACTGCAGGCAGAGGATTAGGGTGTTATGCCAAAGGCACCACCCCCGTAAGTGACCATTTGTAATTATAACAATAAAATGGGTAATTCAACAAACTAACTTTTGCTTGTGTCCCAGCAAGGTATTCAATGTGAGAGGCCAAATTGCTAGGAGATGCTAATAGAAGCAAATTATAAGAATGTATTATCTGAGTATATTTTATGTTTTTTGTATTTTTGTATTTATATTTTTTGTATATTTTATGGTTTTTTGTATTTTGTTTTTTATATGTTATGTATTTTATTAGAGTATGTACTCCATATTTTTAACCGTTTAAAAGTTAGATATCCTTTTTTAAGAGAGTAACAACCACTGTCACGGATGCCATGGAAGCCCTTTCCCATGTCATTACTCCCATGTCTTCACAACTAAGCAAGTTCTGTCTCATCTGCTGAAAAACCACTCATGCTTTTCTTTTGGTGTGAGTATCAAGTGATCCTCAGAGGGGCTGACATGGTGGTAGCAGGTCAGAATGCCTCCAGTGACTCAGAATCCCATGTTGGCACTGGTTCAAGTCCCAGCTGCTCTAAATTTATCTCTCCTGCTGCCTACTGGAAAAGCAGTGGAAGATGGCCTGAGTACTTGAGTGCCTAACACCCAGGGGGAAGATCCAGTTTTAGGTTTTCCTGACTTTGGCCTGGTCCAACGCTGGCCATTACAACCATTTGGGAAGTGAACCAGCAGATACAAGATCTCTGTCTCTCTGTTGCTTTCCCTCTCTCTGTAATTTTTGCCTTTTAAATAAATAAATATTTAAGGAGCTTTAATCCTTGGTGTGTACACCTTTCTTGCTTTAGAGCTTTTTCCCTTTTAGGCAGTGTTCTGTGTTCAGTGAGTCTGTATGGTGTATAGCAAGAGTTGACATCCCAATTCCATGTGTTTTCTACCATCAAAGTTTAAAAAATTGTTACCTACACATAAATGATGCAAAAGACATGATGCATACAACAATTGTAGTAGTTGCTCTTCAGAAATGTGAGAGTGATTTAAATGTGTTTTTCTTTTTCGTAGGCATCTTCATAACAATAAAATTAAAAGTCTGAGTTCACACTGTTTTGATGGACTGGATAACCTGGAGACCTTGTAAGTACGTTTTATATAATCACACTGGGATTTTTACAGTGCAACTTTGTACTTCACTGCAGGAAAGGGAAAATAGTATTGGTCTTTGTAAAGCTTAAAACTAATTTATTCTAATACATGACTAAATTCATGCCATCAAACACTCATTGTAAGTATTACTACATGTTTAGATTAAAAGAGAAATATAAGTGTGGTGTGAATTTTATGGAGTTCTTTTTTAAGCCTGCAAATAAACATTAAAAACAATTTAATCTAAAAAATAACAACTATACATTTTTTAAATGCTGATTTTGTTATATGTGTGGAAATTTTGGAACTTTAAAACATTTGAAATGAATCCTGCAGGTATTTGTTTTTTACATGATCTGAGTTGCCTTAATTGTTTATACTAGTTTAAATATCATATCTGGTCAAGTATAGCAAATGAAAGTTTTATATTTTGTTTATGGTACTTTTGTTATTTTTCCCACCAGCTGAAGCATTCAGGACTGTTTGGCTGGTTCAGCTCTGAATCGCCGTTTAGGTTCATAAGGAAATGCATTCTGTGACTGTGTGTAACGGAGACGAGGATCTTTATTTTTGTTGTTTTAGTTTGTATTGTTATTTTTATTGCCTTCATTCAGAGATGTATAATATTTATGATTATGATGTGCTAGATTCAGAAAATGTTTTAAATTAGAAGAATGAGTAAACCCTGACTAGAATACTTAGGGCTTTTGTAATATTTGCTTGAAGGAATTGTCCAGCTTCCACTTAATGAAAGGATTTAAAATATTTTAGGACTCAGTAATCCACTTTTCTGTCTAAATAATTAAGCAGTGCATATATGTTAAGTTAAACTCATAGGCATCTGAATGATAATATGGTTGATAAGAAATATTAATACCCAGAGGTTGTGATCTTTTTTAATATACTCACATCAAAATGCCTTATGAATTGTGACCAATGTTCAATATTCTTACCTTCTCTTAATTTTTCTAGGGACTTGAATTATAATAACTTGGGAGAATTTCCTCAGGCTATTAAAGCCCTTGCAAGCCTAAAAGAGCTGTGAGTATTGCTTTGTTTGTTTTACCCCTTAATTTATCCCCCACAATTCATCATTTAATATTCCAAGAGATTTTAGATGTTTGTTCAGTGACATATCTGTAATACACACAAATGCATGCGTGATCACACATTAGGTCATGTTAGATACCATAGATAAATGCTTTAAAATATTTATCATCCATCCTGTGCTGTACTTTTTAAATGCTGTAATGACCTGAGCTAGGAAGCCAGGAACCTAGAACTCTTTACAGGCCTGCCATGGTGGTGACAGAGACCGTCATGCTTGGGCCGTGCTGCACTGCCTTCCCAAGTGCATCCTTGGTTAGCTGGGAATGAAACCAATGTTCAGATATAGGATGCCAGTGTCACAAGTGGTGGGTTAATCCACTGGACTGCAAAACCTGTTGTTGACAATTTTGAGCCTGGATTCTTATATGGAGTTATATACTGGCAAAGCAAGGGGGTATAAATTGTACTGTATCTACCATTATGGAGCTTACAGTCAGTTTCACCAAGAAGGCAGACCATGGCAGCTGTCAACCCTAGGTAGGGATAAGTGTTGAACAAGCAGTATAAAAAAAAAAATCTGCTCTGGAAAATGCGTCATTGAGGCTTGGAGTCTTTGGAATTTGAAAGAGAGGGAATTTGCCAAGACTTGAAAGAATGAAAATGCTTAAGTAAGCAAAAGGGCAAAGGGAGCAGTTTGGAATGCTGAGTTTGTTGTGTTTGGGATTATGTCTTGAGAGTGACCAACTACTAGTCTGAGATGTATTGCTTAAAGATGAAATGTGGACCCCCATGACAGAGGTTAGGAGGCTACACTGCCTTATGGTTCTCATGGTCAAAACATTTTTGGCAATAAAGCAACAGATAAATGAATAAAAGAGACCTGGTAAATATTGAGTGGCAGTAGGCTTAAAATGAATTAGATATGGTCTCAAAAGAGATGAGATGGAATCAAAGATTGAGGTGCATTACATTTTCAAAAATTTTCATGTGGTCATTATCAGTTGTATTTTTTGTATTACTAAGTGACAGTAGATATTTGTGTTTTAACTTAGTTCACAAGCAAATATGCATTTCAAATTTTTGTTTCTCTCATTTCTCTAGTGGATTTCATAGTAATTCTATTTCTGTTATCCCTGATGGAGCATTTGGTGGAAATCCACTTTTAAGAACCATGTAAGTGTTTTTGACAATTTCTTTACAGATATTGATATAGATATATTTGTGTAAATCTGTGTTTGGGCAAAGAGTAAAGATTCAGGCTTATGTATATATACTTTAAGAAAGTAATCTTAGAGCATATGTGAACTATGAAAATTTTGCTTTCTTGGATATTTTTTACAGACATTTGTATGATAATCCTCTGTCATTTGTGGGGAACTCAGCATTCCACAACTTATCTGATCTACATTCTTTGTAAGTATTATAAAAATTTTAAAAACATGAATATTTTAGTAATTCTTTCAGTGGAAAGCAAGAACTTAATATTGTTCCTTTAGGAAGCATAACAATCATTTGTCTTCCCCTGCCCTGGCCAGGAGTCTAAAGGACAGATCCTGAAAGTTTATAATGGTTCTTATGTATGTTAGCAGCCAAAATAACTCATTTTCAAGTGGATTCAAGAAGAACTAATTTTAGTTGTAGTAATACTGTAATTTAAAATTGTTTCGAAAAATGGAAATATTATTTATGAACTTTTAAAAAATCAAATTAATTTTTCCTTCCCAATTACTTAAAGAATCATTCGTGGTGCAAGCATGGTGCAGTCATTTCCCAATCTGACCGGAACTGTTCATCTGGAGAGTCTGTAAGTGTGGCCTTCTGGAGGGGACAAAGGAGGCTCCTGGCAGGTGTCAGTGCTTTGGTACCAGTGATGAGGAGTTCTGTTGATTCTTCCAATCTCCATAAGGAATTGTCATCCTGGAGGAGAGTACGTTGGGTTTGGGATCCATCAGTTAAGACAAAGTAGTGAGAAGATCTGAAAAGGTCACGGAAAAAAGGAGTAGCTGAACACAGATTAGAAATACTACATTAGGAATTCAGAAGTAGAAGCTTTCTTTAAGGAGTATTTGAAAAGTAAATGGTATCAGATTTCTCAGATCACAAGTGGCAGCCTACTTGCTATTCCACAGTAGCAGCCTGAAACATTTATTTTTCTAAATGAGAGTAACATTTGTTTGCTATCTTGGTCTCAGTGAGCCTGTGTTTTTCCACAGGACCTTGACAGGTACAAAGATAAGCAGCATACCTGATCATTTATGCCAAGAACAAAAGATGCTGAGGACTCTGTAAGTTTGATTCTTCCTCCTTTTCCTTGTATCATTTTTTTTTTTTATTTGTAATGAACTAGCTTCTTTATGTAGTTTTCAGGGATAGGTTTTTTCCTTCCTTGTTCCTTTCATGTAAAAGAGCTGAGATTTTAGCAGTTCACTTGTTCAGTTAGTAATATGCATTTGAATTTAGTTTTAGGGCTATGTATGTATTGTAGATCTTGTTACTTTGAACAAGATGAAATGAAACTAGCAACTCTTGATTGTTTCTTGTCTTGACTCCTTGTCCTTAGTTTAGTTTCTCCAGGGGCATTATTATCTCTGTATTTTTTTCTTTCATCTATAATGTAAGCAAGGCCTTCATCTCTCTTAAATCAGGACCTTTCTAAAAATTTAAAATAGACCTGGAAATTTAAAGTAAATAATGCATATAAAAATTTTACCAGAATAAGTAGTTAAGTTACTAAATTGTTAATAAGTGTTCAGTGGAGAAAGATGGCAACAACAAAATAAGTAACAAATTGAGCAAGCAATTAACTGGTGTTCAGGGTATCAAACTTAACCCAAGAGAAAAAACAGCAGTGAGATTGAGTTAACTATATCTGATACTCGATATACATTTTAAAAATAGGTAATCATACCATCTTATTTTTAAAATAAAAGATAGTACAAAACTACGGCATGAACAATGTTGGAAAAAAATTCATAACTTTACCATTTAAAATACATTTTCTATATATATGTATGTTCTAATTTAACATTTTACATTGTGTGTACTTAACATTATGTGCTTGAACTTTATAAATCTTAAGGTTATTAATCCATTGGGGTTTTCTAGAAGCTTAGGGAAGCAGTTGTTTTTCTTGTCCAGCCTCATCTCCTTATTATCGACCATAGCACACTTCTGATGCTTCTGAGTAGAGCTTTTTTAACAATGTTCTGATAATGACATTAGTTCATTCCTTTTGTTTTGAGGGACTTGTCTTACAACAATATAAGAGACCTTCCAAGTTTCAATGGTTGCCATGCTCTGGAAGAAATGTAAGTTGGTCTCTGACCTAGCTATTTGTTGTGGTGTATTCAATATTTTCTAATTTTCATATTTTGTTTTAATATTAGGAAATTATAAATGTATATAATTAGGTATTCCATCAAATGAGATGTCAAATTGCACCATGTTTTCCTGTAATCAGTACTTATTGAGCACTTGCCTATGAATATTGTTATGAAGAAAACAACAAATTATATCTTGTTGAAGGAAGCTAATCATGGAAACGTGTTACTTATGAGAACATGGAAACTGATTGGGAGAGGAGATATCATTTCTCCAATTTTTAGTTTCTTCCTCTAAATTTCTGTGCTGCTTGTTTAGGTTGTATTGTCTCAGATCCTTTGTTCTCTCCTACCATAGTGGAGTTGATAAGGAGTTTAGATACTGGGCCAGGTAACTACCAGTGCACTTTGTGTTTTTTTGTTTTTGTTTGTTTGTTTGTTGTTTTTAAAGATTTATTTACTTATTGGAAAGTCAGATATACAGAGAGGAGGAGAGACAGAGAGGAAGATCTTCCAAACGATGATTCACTCCCCAAGTGAGCACAATGGCCGGTGCTATGCCAGTCCAAAGCCAGGATGCAGGAACCTCTTCTGGGTCTCCCACACGGGTGCAGGGTCCCAAAGCTTTGGGCTATCCTTGACTGCTTTCCCAGGCCACAAGCAGGGAGCTGTATGGGATTAGAACCAGCGCCCATATGGGATCCTGGCACTTTCAAGGCAAGGACTTTAGCTGCTAGGCCACTTTGCTGGGCCCAAGTGTACTTTGAATGGAATACAAACTCCTGTTTTGTTGATGAGAAAATGGCAAGTTCTCTTTACTCTCAAAAAGATTAGTTGATATTACATAGGATTGGGTATTTATACATAGGAAAAGCTTTACTGAGAAATGCTTTTTTTCCGAAATACATAATTTTCTCTCTTTTTCTCCCATTTAAGTTCTTTGCAGCGTAATCAGATCTACCAAATAAAAGAAGGTACCTTCCAAGGTCTGAGCTCCCTAAGGATCCTGTAAGTTATTTATGATTATTTGAAACAATTTTGTTATGTCAAGCTGTAAGCTAATATAGCATTAGGATTCTACGTCAAGTGCTGTACTTAAATATATGACCTATGTAACATAAATATTAATATTCAAACTATACCAGTTGATATGTTATAAATAATCCACTTTTGATAATGTTTTACTTTAGCTGATTGATGTTACTATATATGTGACTGGGAAGAATATAATGGGTATAATCTGAGCGATACACCTTGCTTGTTTCCAAATCAGAATATGGTTTGCTCTAGGTTTGTTGAAAACCAGCAATGAGGTAGGCAAACTACAGCAGGAAGACCAAATTCAGCTGGCCTCCTGTTTTTGTAAATTAAGATTTATTGAAATTCAGGCAGAAGCACTCACTTAAATACTTATTTACATTTGAGTATAAATTTTCACCAATTACTCTATCAAACACTTGGACATATAACTAACAGTCCTTTGGTATTCATGGGCGATTGGTTCAAGGAGCCTACTCCTCCTTACCTGAAGTACCAAAATCTGGGATGCCTGTGAAATGTTCCTATACTCCTTAGACATCAAATTACATTACACATGTAATGTACTAAAGCCAGTATAAGTGCCACAGAAGTAAGCATTATATTCTTTAAGGGATAATAAGAACAAGGATCTGTACATATTTAGTACAGATGTGATTTGTATACTCCCTGCCAGGTATTTTCATTCTGTGGCTGATGGAATCCATAAATGCAGAGGGCCAACTATATACAGAGATGATCAAGAAAAAAAACTTTATTGCTTTCAAAGAACGTTAGTACAGAAAGCGCACTGCATATAACGCATTCGTGAGCAGCTTGCTGCATATGAAAATGTAAGCATATAGATTGAATCTAGTTTCCAATAAGTCCACATAAAGAAATAAAAGAAACGTTTTGCTAGAAAATAGTCACTGGTAGTTGGACTGCCGGATCTTTGCTTGCTGCAGATGGGAAAAGTCCTGGCAATAGTGACTTACTCCTTGTGCCAACATGTTCAGAGCACTAAAAAAGGTGACAACAGTGAAAAGCTGGTATTCTGATGGTTTGTATCCAAGTTGGTCCAGTTTTCTTGTTCTCCAAGAATGTGTCACGGGATGAATGTAACACCCAGTTTACATTGAAGATTAATCTCTTTTTATTAATTCTATAATACTACCAAAATTCTTCAAGGTGTGTTCCTGAATACAGAATTGGTTTTGTTAATGATGTGATTTTTCTTTTTATTTCCTGCTTTGGAAAAGAATGATATCTGAGGCCCTCTTGGAATGCTTTGTTTGTGTATTGATTATTTGTCTTTCTTCAGAGCCTTATCACTAAACTTTGGGAAGGCAAATACTAAGCAGCCTGTTTTTATTTTCAACTTTGTCAAGAGCCAGACTTTCTCACCTACTTAGTAGTACCAAAGGTTATATCATATCACCTGTAGTTTGAACTGGTACCAAAATGATAAAAGTAGAGAAAATTCACAACTGTTTTGAAATGGGTGCCAGCTAGACTTAACTGCTGCGGGGAACATATTTTGAGAAACAGATTCTTGAAAGGGGAAAGCTGTCAACATGAGCATCAAAAATGTTGTTGGACAAGATAGAATATCTTTGTTATGTTATCAGATATGTGGTGGTACTACATTAGATTCTAAACCTCAGGTTGTGAGTGTGTCTTTGAAAAAACTAACACATTACTTTTCTAATTGCAGAGATCTGAGTAGAAACCTGATCCATGAAATTCATATCCGAGCTTTTGCCAAGCTTGGGCCAATAACTAATCTGTGAGTAGACTATTTGATGTTGTAATACCACGAAAATAGTAGATAGTTATACACAGACTTGTTTTTTTTAACAAGTTAAATATGAATATTTTTTGCTTAGTTGTTCCCTCTTACTGTAAATGCTAAATTGCATACATGTTAGTTAACAGCCTCTCCGGAAAAACAGGATGAGTGCTAGATCTGTTGTTTTAGAATCTTTCAGGAATCAAATATGCATATATACTTAATGTCTATGCAGACATGTGATTCATATCTTAGGCTTTAACTTGAAATTTCATTCATATTTTAGAGATGTAAGTTTCAATGAATTGACTTCATTTCCTACGGAAGGCCTGAATGGGTTAAATCAGCTGAAACTGGTAGGCAACTTTAAACTGAAGGAAGCTTTAGCTGCTAAAGACTTTGTTAATCTCAGGTGTGTATTTGTGTGTGTGTGTTTTAAATTGAAGTTATGATACTCCCCCAAAATTACAGTGTATGCTTTTTTTTCCTGTGATTTCCAAATTGTCTAGTAGACTACAATTTAAGTGTATTTTTCTACTTTGGTGTTTACAGATTTGAGAAAAAACTAGAACAAAAGCATTATTCCTTAGTATTTGAGAATGTGAACAAGAGCTGTTAATATTCTCAAAAAGAGTGTGTTCATCAGAACATCTTTGGTTTTTTTTTTATGCAGTAGGTTTGTCCCTAGCAACAACATGGCAGAAAGCACATAATGGCAGACCTAGAGAATATCAATATAATGCTATAATGTGTCATAGAAGATTGAGATTTATTGAGGCAACTTCATTAAATTGCAGAGGGGTAGCTTGAAATTACTTTTGTGTGAGAAAATAATAAATATTGTCATTACATTTATGTGAACAGAGGGAATTCATTTAACAGTATATAGTTACATATAACCTGAAGTATTAATTTTTTGAATGAAACTACCAGTTCCCCATGATAAATTGTGTATGGTTGATATATTTATGGAAGCAATCATAAAATCTTTGTTGAATTATGATATTATTATTATGAAATCTTCATTTTAATTATGTGCACCCAACAAATAAGATTTATACAAAGAGAGTTTTCATGGTTAGCTTTATGTGCTTTTCCAAAGCTGTTTTTGCTGATGAGAAAATTGAGATGCACAGAGTATGAATGACCAAGCTAAAGAATGGCACAATCCTATCTGACTCCTACAAAAGAATTTTTAAAGATTAAAATACTTTTTTTAGAAAGAGAGACCCTATCTGTGGAGTTGCTATTCATTGTATGTGTTGCAATTTTTTCCCAGGTCTTTATCGGTACCATATGCTTATCAGTGCTGTGCATTCTGGGGTTGTGACTCTTATGCAAATTTAAACACAGATGATAACAGCCTCCAAGACCACAGTGTGACAAAGGAGAAAGGCAAGTGCATGAACTTTCAAAAGTAGAACACTCCTTAAGGCATTAATCAAATTATCTGTCAGTATAATCATTTTGTAAAGGATCAATATGAAACCTGTGAGAAAAGCACCATTACTGTTAGACTGGCAACTGTAATTTACGACAAAGCCAGGAGAGGAAATTGTAGGGAGATAAAGTTATTTTGAATTGTGAAAGATTTTAATGCAACCTGCTTTTTTTGTTATATGTATACTTAGGTACTGCTGATGCAACAAATATCACAAGCACTGCTGAAAATGAAGAACATAGTCAAATCATTATCCACTGTACACCCTCAACAGGTATGCCCAGCCTATACCGTCACAGGTTCTTGCTTGAAACAAGAGTTAGGCAAATATATCTAAAACTCTTTGGGATGTCTGTGGTTTCTGTCCCAGGGATGGGACGAGATGATCCTGCAAGGTTTGCTGACTCACGGCGTGGTCTTTTGTGCCTGCAGATTAGACAGCTCTTGACGAATCTCAAGTCCACACCTGTCGAATCAGAACCTGCATGTTCCCAAGGTCCTCTACATGAGGGTTACACACACTAGATTTATGAAGCACTTTCTTAATGCTGCTTTTACTGTAGGATGTGTTCTGTATGTTACTAATCTATAAGAATTTTTCCTGTTTTTAAAAATTTAAAAGACTGAGTATCTGAGAGAGAGGATCACACACATGCAAATCTCCCATCTGCTTTTTTTCACTCCCCACATGCCAACTACAGGCTGCAGCCAAAAGACTAGAACTCCATCCTGGTTTCCCATGTGTGTGGGAAGATCTCAAATACTTCTGCTATCAGTTGCTGCCTCTCAGGGATATTAGCAGTCATCAAAAGCACAGGCAGAACTCAGTCCCAGGCATTCTAACCTAGCCTTTCCTTTTCCTTCTTAGTTCACTGAACTTTATAGTTTGGGCAAAGTTTCTAAATTGATGTAACATGTTTGATTCTGAATAAAGTGATATTTTGCCTAACCTATCAGAGAAGACGGATTTATAATTTTACTGTAGAAAATAGGATTAAATATTTTAGTTAGATTGTATGCCACAACATAGATTCTTTTACGCGTCAGAGAACAGAATGGTTAGGATGATGTGTTCACTAGTGATTATTACTGAACTGTGGGTTTCCTGAAAGACTGTGGATATATTTGTTGAAAAACATGTCCTGTGTGGAGAAAAATGTTTCCACATGAGTGGATGGGATTGGCAAGAAGCACTTTTTATGTATGTTACTGTGTATTAATCTTTATATTAATTGGGAATTTGGGATGCAGCATGCTCACTTGCCTTCTTGGGTTTCACATGTTCATCAGTTCACATCAAAACTAGTGATTCAATGAGAAGGGATTAGCCTTATCAATGCGGAAGCAAAACTTGTATATGCAGCAATTCCATTCTCCTAGACTGAGTTCAAACCTTAGGGTTGATCTTGAATAAAGTCCATCTGAGCTTCGGTCTCTGGGCTGCAGTGAGAGTGACCTGCAGGCCTGCCTTGCCCCACTCTGACACTAACATCCTTATTGCAGCAGCAGAAAGTGGGGTCTGGAGGAACGCCATATCTTTGTGTTAGATTGGAGGAGACAACAGGATTCCAAAGATGCAATGGGTAGAAACTTTTTCCCTAGCCCTTTTGGGAAAGTCATCTCACACCCACCATTACAGGAGTTCACACAAAATATCTTACTCTCTCAGCTCAAAAGGTTGAGTCAACCCTCTGCTCCAGATGTAGAGATAAAGGTGACAAAGACCTGCTTCTTCTTACTTCTTGATAAATAGTCTTGTGTTTTGGAAGTCACAGAAATGGTGTAGATTTAGTTTTTAAGGTCTATGACTATCTCAATAACTAAAATGAGTTATTGCAAATATAAAAGTGGATAGTACCTAAAGACAAAACATGTTTTTAATGCAATCCATTGAAGAGAAGATTATGACATTTTATGTTTCATAGTCAATTTTTCTTTTTTAAGATTTGTTTATTTTTATTGGAAAGTCAGATATACAGAGAGGAGGAGAGACAGTGAGAAAGATCTGTCATGTTTCACTCCCCAAGTAAGCGCAACAGCCGATGCTATGCTGATACAAAGCCAGGATCCAGGAACTTCTTCCAGGTCTCCCACATGGGTGCAGGGTCCCAAGGTTTTGGGCTGTCCAGGCCACAAGCAGGGAGCTGGATGGGAAGTGGAGCTGCCAGCATTAGAACTGGCGCCCATATGGGATCCCGGCGCGTTCAAGGTGAAGACTTTAGCTGCTAGGCCACTGTTGTCGGGCCCTACATAGAGTTTAATTATACATAGTTAGAACTGTAGTTTATGCAATGTTTTGAAATATAAATTCAAATATCAATTCTCTGGATGAAAATTGGTGATGATTATAGCTATCTTAGCCTTTCTCCTCTGGTTGCCTTTAGAAGCCATTAGAAATGGATAAAAGTGTGTTAAAATGTGTGCTCATGTCTATGTATGTAACTATAAAGTGTACTAAGACTAGCAAGGTACCAGAAAAGGGAGCTAATATGTATTAAAGTACAAGTACGTATCCAGTGACTTGCAGACATAACAACTATAGAAGATTTAATTAAGCTGCACACTGCTGTGAAACAGGCATTTTTATCCACAAGTAAGGTAATGAAGTTCATAGAGCTGCAAGTTGCTTTCTGAAAAAAGGCCTAGCAAGTTATAAACCATCTTACTGCACACTCTCAGTATACTAAGTACTTTTCATGTGCTAGATATTATACTATGAATATAAACTTACATATAGGAAAAAGTGAAATTTTCTCTTAAATTTCTGTGTGGGCTTAAACCAGTATGATGTCTTAGAAGTAGCAATGTTTTCTATTTGGTGCAGGTAAGTGGAGATTTAACTAGATTTCATTCATTAATTTTTTGACAAGACATGTCATGAAACGTGGTGTTTTCTGAATTTTTTTTTTTTATCTTTTTTTTATTTCAGGTGCTTTTAAGCCCTGTGAATATTTACTGGGAAGCTGGATGATTCGTCTTACTGTGTGGTTCATTTTCTTGGTTGCATTGTTTTTCAACCTGCTTGTCATTTTAACAACATTTGCATCCTGCACATCACTGCCTTCCTCCAGATTGTTCATAGGCTTGATATCTGTGTCTAACTTGTTCATGGGAATCTATACTGGCATCTTAACATTTCTCGATGCTGTGTCCTGGGGCAGATTTGCTGAATTTGGCATATGGTGGGAGACAGGCAGCGGCTGCAAAGTAGCTGGGTTTCTCGCAGTTTTCTCCTCAGAAAGTGCCATATTTTTACTGGTGCTAGCAGCTGTTGAAAGAAGCTTATCTGCAAAAGAAATCCTGAAAAATGGGAAGAGCAATCATCTCAAACAGTTCCAGGTGGCTGCCCTGTTTGCTTTCCTGGGTGCCACAGTGGCAGGCTGCTTCCCCCTCTTCCATCGAGGGGAGTATTCAGCATCACCCCTGTGCTTGCCATTCCCCACGGGAGAAACTCCATCCTTAGGTTTTACAGTAACTTTAGTGCTGTTGAACTCACTCGCATTTCTATTAATGGCCATTATTTACACCAAACTCTACTGCAACTTGGAAAAAGAGGATCTCTCAGAAAACTCCCAGTCAAGCATGATTAAGCATGTTGCTTGGCTAATCTTCACCAACTGCATCTTTTTCTGCCCTGTTGCATTTTTCTCATTTGCACCGCTGATCACTGCCATCTCTATCAGCCCTGAAATAATGAAGTCTGTTACTCTGATATTTTTCCCATTGCCTGCTTGTCTGAATCCAGTCCTATACGTTTTCTTCAATCCGAAGTTTAAAGAAGACTGGAAGTTACTGAAGCGACGTCTTACCAAAAGTGGATCTGTTTCAGTTTCCATCAGCAGCCAAGGCGGTTGTGTGGAGCAGGACTTCTACTATGACTGTGGCATGTATTCCCACTTGCAGGGGAACTTGACCGTATGTGACTGCTGCGAATCTTTTCTCTTGACGAAGCCACTTTCGTGCAAACACTTAATAAAGTCACACAGTTGTCCTGCACTGGCAGTGGCTTCTTGCCAAAGACCAGAGGGTTATTGGTCTGACTGTGGCACGCAGTCGGCACACTCCGACTATGCAGACGAAGAAGATTCCTTTGTTTCAGACAGTTCTGACCAGGTGCAGGCCTGTGGACGTGCCTGCTTCTACCAGAGTCGGGGATTCCCTTTGGTACGCTATGCTTACAATCTACCAAGAGTGAAAGACTGAACTACTATGTTTGTAACCATTTTCCCCAGCAACCAAAATCACAGTGTTTGTAGAGTGGACCCTATTCTTATGTTTCGTCTGGGAAGCACTTCTGTAGTCCCTGCCTGGTGTCACGGAGAAGCGGAAGGTGGCAGTTTATTCCTCAAAGCAGTCGTTTTCAAAGAGCAGGTGCCTAAATTATAAATTGGTGAAAGTAATGCAGTGTTGAAGCAATATGTGGTCTATTTGAAATAAATATATAATTTTAAAGAAGATCTTGGGTATGGTGTGGCAAAATAACATTAGGTTGTCTGAGTCATAAGAGCAAAATGATAACGATTTCTGAATTAAGCACAGTATAAAAACAGCTGTTAAGTTTTTTTTAAGCAAGTTCTAAAATGTAATTTCATATAACTGAAAAAGACGTTTTGTTAATTTTACCTAAACTTACACCATTCATCTCAGGACAATTCAGTGCAGGGCCAAGAAAGGGACAGTCTCCCAGCTAGAACTGTGAGAATACAAAATGGCATTATTTTATTGTGTTTTCAGTTTCCATGTTTGACATCTAAAATCTGAAGATGTTTTAAAAACAATATTAACAGTTTGATTTTTTTTTTTAAGTAGCTGAATTTGTTTTGGTATGATCGTGTTTTTTTTTTTTCTTTTTTTTCCTGAATATTTTGCAATCGCGCTACTTGGAAAAAAATAAAGGAATAACTGCTGTGTGAGGTTAGTGGATTTGGCTAAATGATGAACTCATTTGGGGGCTTTAATAGTACCTGAGGGGTTTGATGGCTCCATGTGATGTTCCTATCAATAAATACTTCCGAAAGTCATGGATTGGCTGCAATTTTCCAATTTTGTTAGTATGCCATCTATTTGTAGTTTGGATTATTTAAGAAGCAAGTTTTGATAAATAATTATTAGAGGGGAGAAAATGAGAGCAATTCTGACACAAAGCACTTACATCTGTTTGTAATGAGCTAGATTTCCCTAAACCTATGCTACACGTGGAAGCTCCTGCATGTTCTCTGCCACAGTGTGACCCACAGAAGACCACAGCTCAGATGCTGAGCTCCTGCTGGACAAAAGTGTCATCTGTGAGAGGTGGGGAAGGAGGAATAAAGTTTGCTCCTATGTTGTTAAAAGGTAAAACCTCTCACTTAGGAACTTTGACATATTATCATGTGGCGTCCTACAGTTAAAAATTGTCGAATATGCTTTTGACAATGTGCTAAATCAATAGCAAACCCACTGCCATATTAGTTGTTCTGGATATACTAAAAAAAATTAAGCTAGGTTGCAGTTTAATAATTAAACTGTACAAACTGTGCATAGACTGAATTTTTATCTTGTGTAAATTATTTTTAGAGTAAAAGTTGGGAAATGTGGCTTCTGTTCATTTCGTTTAATTAAAGCTACCTCCTAAACTATAGTGGCTGCCAGTAGCAGAATGTTAAATTGTGGTTTATATACTTTTTTTGCAGTGTAAATAGTCTTTGTTGTACATTGTCAATGTAATAAAAACAGAATCTTTGTATATCAAAATCATGTAGTTTGTATAAAATGTGGGAGGGATTTATTTACAGTGTATTGTAATTTTGTAAGGTCAACTATTTGCAAGTTTTAAAAATTGCTATCATGTTTGTATATTTACACAGCTGATAAATATTAAATCAACTTGGTAAGAAAATTCTAATTAAAATCTTTTTCAAAAATCAAGTTATTGAAAATTTTCTTTTTTTCTCCTAAAAAGTAAAATGGCAGTTACATTATACAAAATATTTGGTAAACTGTGCTATATGTATAATGTAAATATAAGGCTGTATTCAACGTTTTGAATTATTATCATTTTTGTTAAAACTTTAATTATTAAAATCTGTTCATGTTAGCTTACAACCTGTTTGTACAATCTATTTTAACTTTATGTATAAATATGTATATTAATGAATTTATGTAGGGTTAGAATAGGTAAATTAAATATTCTTTTAAAATTCATTTTATTTCATTGAAAGGTACAGCGATGACAGAGAAGGAGGGAAGGACAGCCAGAGATATTCTTTCATTCCCTAGTTCACCTCCAGAAATGGCTGCAACAGCTCTAGACCAGGTCCCTGTAGATCCTCCAGTGCTACGCTCCATCGTGTGGGTATTTGGGCCCATGTCCACTGCTCTCCCAGTGCGTTAGCAGTGAGTTGAATTGGAAGCAGCACAGCTGGGCCAGCAAGTGGCACTCTGATTTGGGATGCCAGACTTGCAAGCCGCTATGCCACTGCACTGGCCCCCAAGTTAAATAGTTTTATGTGGAGAATATTAAAAGAAATGTTGTAATTAACCATTAGAAAAGGTATTTTGATACTTTAGAGCACTTTTCCAAAATTTTGAAATAAGATTATATCCTATCTGAAGTCTAAGCTATACTTGTGGGAAGCAAATTCTCAAACTTAAGATGAACCAAACTTAAGATGGTCAGTCATTTAGACACTTAAAAATACCACATTTATAATGACATAATCATCAAGCCTTCATTTTGTAGATAACAAAGGGTTTAGATAAACCTTTGAATCACTGCAATTAATACCTAAACCAGAACAAGTTCTTCACTTCTGGATATAGTTTCTTATTTTTATTGTAAACTTCATTTATGTTAGACATTAGTACAAGAAAAAGACAATAATCTAAATTTTGCTTTTGAGGTTCTTTGCACATTTTTATATATACATATTTCCACCCATCTTGATTATGGCTTCTCAACCCCAGTAATGAAAAGGTATGTGATACCACAGGGCTCGATTGTTAAGTACCAGCGCCAGCACTATATAAGTGCCTCATCGCCTTTAGGGCTCCAATATTGTTACAGCATAAAGTAATTGTTGGTTATAATGATGACCCTTAAGCGTCAAGGGCAGGGCATAATTGGTTCAGAAGAAAGTCTAGTGTTTTTGCTAACCATACCAAGACACTGAAGTAGAGAAGTTTTCGGGTTTAAATTTACCACCGTAGGTCACTAATAACACAATTGTGAGTTAGATAATTTCCCTCTTGTACATTGGAGTAATTTAGGATTGGAAGAGTCATAAAGCTTGTTCAAGAAAACCTGCAGAGTAGGTTTTCCAGCTACTTGCTGAATATGCATTTTTCCAGTTATTTGGATTATGTCTATTGGGAGATGTTATTCAAATTTACTTATTCATAAAGCAGTTCCACATTTTGGTTTTGTTGCTATTGATTCTAGAGATGTTCTGATGAACCATTTCAACCGGATATGCCAACATTGAACCTTTACAGTGGAAACTGAGCACTCCTTGAGAACAGTTTGATTCCTTAATCAATTTTATTACTCAGAGTAATTGGTCTAATTCTGTTCCCATTTTGATTTTACTGAAAAATTTAATGTTTCATTGAAACATTTAAATCATGTTATATTTTATTAATTATGGTCTACCTTCTGAATTGTCTTCAGTACCAGTTATTTTCTAACATACTTGACTTTGTCAAATTTTGCAAATCTAATTAAGAACTGGGTAAAAGCCATCTGTCTATACACGTTGTCAGCACTAATAAAGCATCTTTGGTGACCTCTCTTTTGCTACCTCTATCTCTATGCCAAATCCCTGAGAGATCTCCTTAGATCCTACAAAATGCTTTCCTTTCTAAAAACAAAACCACAAAAAAATCATATTTTGGTAGAATGATTCTTCAACAGAAAAGGATAAAGCGTTAAGGTAAAGGCATCATTTCGCTCTGCTCTTAGCACAAGACATTCCATACAATTTTCCAGGCCAAAATGTTCTTATGCTAAAACAAATGATTAAGACCTGGATGAGGTTCGGCCCACCCTACGGCCCTGTACTAAAAGAAATTACAAGACTGACGCTAATAATCCTGAGCTAGGGTGGTTTTGGCCTTTGCCTCTGTCCCTGAGACACTATCCGCCTTGTTCAGTAGCAAGTAACGTATTTTACGTACCAAATGATCGTCACCACCAACGCACTAAGAGGTGGACCCCGAACCTCCCTCCGCAACACACACCCCAAAGTCGTCAACAGTGAGCCCAGAGCTCCTGTCAGCTGAGGCGTAGAGCTGTGCTAGGCGGCAGAAGCTGACTCCTCCCCGCCGCTCAGGAGGAAGTTCCGGTCGAGAGGCCGGGACAAAGCCCTCGCGGCCTCCACGCGTCGCCGTGGCAACGCGGGGCCTGTGCGGCCTCGGATTGGCCGGACTCACTGCGCGCGGGGCCTGCTGGGAGAGCATATCCCGGCCGCCGCTCCACCGGTTTGAACTTGGCGGGCCCGATGTGGGCGGCGGGGCTCAGGCGGGCTTCCTCTCCCCGGCTGTCCAGCCAGCTGTCCGCCGACTCCAGGCCCCGGTCTCGGCCCCCCTCTGGCTCGTTCCCATGCCTCCTGACGGGCGCCCGGGAGCAGGGGCTGGCGGTGGTGGCGGTGATGTCTGAGTGCTCGGTGTCTCCGCCCCAGAGCTGCAGCAATTCCACCATGTCGCTGCTGTCGCCCCTCGGCCACCAGAGCTTCCCGTTTGACGAGGACGACGATGACGGGGAGGAGGGGGAGGATGAGGAAGACCTGGACGAAGAAGCCCCTGACTCAGAGTCCAAGGTGGCAAGCCTGAGAGGATTGGAGTTACAGGGGTGCTCCAGGTAAACCCGAGTCTGCCCGGCCGACACACCCCAGCTCAGGATTCTTTAAACCCTCCTTGGTGCTTGCTGCCGGGTGCCCCTGAATTACGCACAGGCACCTGCATCCTGAGGCGCTGCCCCATCCTGCTAGTAGTTTTCCCTAATAATTGCTACATTTCCCTATCCCGAAAAACTTATGGTCTTTGAAGCACATCATACTTTGCTGCTATTTGCTAGTTTAATGAATCATCAAAGGCCAGCTGTGGACTGCAGAAATCTTGTGCAAAACCTTAACATTAAAACGTTTAGTGGTGGGTTGTGGTAAGCAGATCGCTTTGTAAGCACAGATTAGTAGTGTGTACCACAGTATGCTGAGCCAAGGTTAGGCCCTGATCTGAACCTGGCTTACCGTGGAAGGACATTGTGTTAAGAAGTGTTGGAAGCAGAGAGATGACTAAAACCATCCCAGTATGTTCTTCTGTGCCTTGATTCACTCAACAAGCTTTTTAAAAGTTGCGTGCGTGTTTAGGTATCCACAATCATGCGTATGTGAGATATTGCTTCCGCTTTCAAGAAATTAACATCTACATGAGACATTTTACAGACGACAAAACTGTGCCTCGGAATACAAACAAAAAGTGGTGCCTTTGGGACCTGGAACCGGGGGTACACTGATGAGGTTCTCTTTTCTCTACATGCCATCACTAGTCCTGGGTATTTAGAAATAGAAGTAAAGAGGGGAAGACTACAAGAATGTCTGAGATAAGCATGGTTAATGTAGGTGCATTTGGGGGCAAACTCCTGTCATGTTCAGAAAGCACTTACAAATTTCTGCTACGTACAGTAGAGAGAAAAGAAATGCAGATCATCAAATTCGTTTGTTATGTGTGAGTAACAAGATAGACTCCAGATTAAGGTATTCATATCTGGAGTGAATAAAATACCCATATGAAATGACTTATATGCATGATTGCAAGAATGAGTTCTCCTGAGGATGAGAAAGGAAAGCAAGCTCCTTGATGGGACCAGAGAGCAGCAGGAGTGTCAGTGCACACCATTTGTCCAGGCTTGTTAGGACAACAGGAACCAGGCCTCATTACAATGTAATGGTGGATTTAGATTTTTCAATTTTTACTTGGCCTTCACAGGGATTCTGCAAGGCTGAGTTGGTCTCAAAGGTTTTTAAAATACATTTTAGGGCCTTGGGAACTACCTTCTGAGCATGATCAACAGAATGAGCTAATGTGGGTATAATTTACTAGCCTGAGGAGTAAGTGGACATCAAAACTGTAGGTACTGAGACCTTGTATTAGCATCCAAGAGCCAAAGGCCTAACTGGAGCCTCCCAGGAGATAAACCAGAAAGCGCTCTTACTTGTCTAAAGAAGGAACGGTAGCTTTCCAGGGATAAGGCTGCCTTCCTTATTCCATTTCAGACGTGTAAGTCAAAACAATAGTTAGGACACAGGTCAGGAATGAGAATATAGGGGTTGATAGGCCCTTTGTGTGATGTCAGATGCTTATTAGGTATCCATTCAATGCTGAATGAATGGATGAGTGTCTGTTTCCCACTTGCAGAGAACAGATAAATGCAGCATTATTCAGAAAACCTAGCAGTTTCTTTCAGGAAAGATAAGTGTTTAGCAGATTTCATTCCTATTTCCAACCTTTTGTTAGTTCCCTGGACCATTTTGGTGGTGATGGAGTGAAAGGGAGCAGGCAGCCCGAGTCAGACATTGTTTCTGTGAAGTAGAGGACAAAGCTAGGGCTGCATGGAAGTTTGTGTGTCTTCTCCATGCTGCACCTGCCGCAAGTGATCTGATCCTAGTGCAAACAGCAGGGTAAGGCTTCTTTGGGATAGACTTAACACGCATGAGGGATATGAGCTCGCGATATTTTCAGTATAAACAGTCTTGCTTAGAGGGTGGATTGACCTTCAGCTGTTTCGGCCAGAATTGAGATGAAGCTCAATGTTGGGCTTCAGATATGATTGTGAGAAGTATTTTCCTGGAATCTTTACAATATGCTTTGGACCTGCTGTTTATTCTGCTTTATCTTGGTTTTATATCGCTATTCCTTAGGAAAGCCATGCCTTAATAAATATCATAAATGCCTGCTTATCAAGCCTTGCTAGATTATGGATTGAGTTTTAGTGTGTACAACATATGTTTTGAACACGTTTATTAAAAGTGATAAGATAAATTTTTTTATTTAAAGTGTCATTATTTTCAGAAACACTTAGCTGATTTTTGCTTTCAATAGTTCTTTTTGAGGAACCTACTGTATTATAGATCTAAGCAAGGCTTTCAAAAGAAAAAATGAGCTAAGGCATGTTTTCTTTCTGAAAGGAACTCATGGCCTGTGGCAGAGATAGGCAAGTGAGAGGAAACAAAGACAGGTCATGCAGAAGCAAAGCCAGACAGTACCAGAGCTAATAACTGAAGAGAGAATAGGAATTAGCTATTGTACTGATGATAATAAATGGTGTAACAAGTGCTGCCAGGTACACAGAACTACAGTTAGTGATTTAGCATGGATTTTTTTCATGCATACTACCTGGAGGTATCAACTGTTTGATTTCCACTTCAGCATTTAAATGAGGAAATAGAGGCATGGAGTTTTAAAAAGTAGGGTCAGGCATTTGGCTCACTAAGAGACCCACGTCATCTGTCAGAGTGCCTGCTTTCTGATCTTAACTCTGGCTCCTGTTTCTAATGTGCTGCTGGTGCAGACCTTGGGAAGCACTATATGCCACTACATGGGAGACTTGAGTGCCTGGCTCACCCAGTCTTTGAGCTCACTCAGTCTTGAGTTTTTTGGACATTTGGGAGGTGAGCTAGCAGGTGGAAACTCTTGTCTTTGTATCTTTGTTTCTCTATGGCTTGACTTAAAGAAAATAGTGTATGTAGCTAAGAAGAAATAGGTAGGTAGTACCCATCGACTATTTTACTCCAAAATCCAAGCTCAGAAGCCGACCTTTTGGGTAGGCAGAGAAAGGAAATATCAGAGTTTCAGGCAGAAGTTGCACATCACAAACATTAACACATTCATCAACCTGCAAGTGTTCCAGATAACAAGTGTTGAATCTAAAATGTCTGGATGCCAGTTTGGGGTCCCAGGTGTTTGAATATCATCCTATAGCAAAAGGAGCCACTGGAGAATTTTGAATTAGAGAATGACATGATAGAAGGATGAATTTAATGGATGAAATCTGCTTTAGATATGAAAATAGTTTGAAAGGATATATTGTGTCCAGAGAGGGGGCAGTAAGGTGACAAAGAAGAGTGGCTGGAAAAAAATGGAGAGGGGTCAAATTGACAGAAAGTGATTGATTTAAAAATACTTATTTTTATTGGAAAGTCAGATATGCAGAGAGAAGATGAGACAGAGAGAAAGATCTTCCATCCACTGATTCACTCCCCAGGTCACTGCAATAAAACGAGCAAGCTGAATCTGAGGTGGAAAAGCAATAGGCAAGGCACTTGGTTGCAGGAAGCAAGAATGTTAAAGATCCAAAGAGCAGAGTCCAGATTAAAGTTAGGTTTCCAATTACCTTGGGACCCTAACAAACTTTTCTTTCTTTCTCTGCTGATCATTAACCTTTCCTAAAATTTTCAGGCTTCTGTAAATTATTCAGGCCCTGTGTTGTTCTTTGTTTATATTTGTGCTTTACAGTATTTTCCCTCCCCCCCACTTTTTTTTAGCTTAAATAAGTAGCTACTGTTCTTTGAATCCAGAAGAGATGTATTGATGGGACTTGCATGTTGGAGATGGAGGCCATGGTGGGAGGAAGCCATATTAGCAGCTCTGTTGAAGAATTGGCAAAAGGAAATTAATCAAAGTGTTAAAGAATAGTCATTGTTTGGGAGTTTTGCTTTTGAAATGGTTTCAAACTTCTTAATTGAAACATTTATCATTATCTCTGTACTGGTTTAACTATACTATTTAAGGGAGGAAAATGAAAAAACCTGTTCAGGATGTGAATTGATGACATATTTTAATTAGCTATCCAAATACTGCTTATAAAATTTTTAAAAAATTGGCATTAAGGTAAATGGTTTGGGTTTTAGTTAACTGGTAGGTTTTGAAATACATGTGAATTTACAAGTGAAGGAGTTCAAATAGGATTTGATGGATAAAATAGAATACTAGATTCCCTTTTTGCAATTTTTTTCACATGGGGAGTTTTGAACAGTTTCTTTAAAAAATAGAAGCAAAATATGAAAGTTACAGACCTTATTAACATAAACTATAAGGTTCAAGCAGTGATACTGTCTATTTAGTTCATCCCTAAAGAACAGAAGTTCCTAGGAATTTAACCATGTAGTCTTTTTTATATCATTAACTAAAGAAAATGGATTTCCTCTAAAACATTTTTTAAAATGTTTATTTTTATTGGAAAGGCAGATATACAGAAAGAAGGAGATACAGAGAGGCAGAACTTCTGTCTGCAGGTTCACTCCCCAAATGGCCACAACGGCCAGAGTTGAACCAATCCAAAGCCAGAAACCAGGAGCTTCTTCCAGATCTCCCATGCTGGTGCAGGGTCCCAAAGCTTTGGACCATTCGTTACTGCTTTCCCAGGCCACACAGGGAACTACTGGAAGGGAAGTGGAGCAGCCAGGAAACAAACTGGCAGCCACATAGGATCCCAGTGCATACAAGGCGAGGACCTTAAGCCACTAGGCTATCATGCTGGACCATAAATACATATTTTTATGATTGGGAAACAAAAAGAAGCCAAATCAGGACTGGGTTGTGAATGTATGCCTAATGATTTCCCATAGAAACCTTTGCAAAATTGTAGGGGCTTTATTGTGGTAGAGATGAACTCACTGAGGAGGCTTTCCCTGCCATTTTTCTGAAAAAGCTTCAGCTAACGTTCTCAGAACACTATGATAATAAAATGCTATTAGTCGGGCCCAGTGCAGTCACCTGGTGATAAAGTCTTCTCCTTGCATGTACATTTTCCCATGTGGGCCCTGATTCTAGTTCTGGCCTCTCCACTTCCCTTCTAGCTCCCTGCTTGTGGCCTGGGAAACCAGTAGAGGACAGTTCACAGTCCTGAAACATTGCACCTACATGAGAGACCTGGAAGAAGCTTCTGGCTCCTGGGTTTGAATTGGCTCAGCTCCTGCCATTGCAGCCACTGAGGGTGTGAACCATTGGATGGAAGATCTGTCTCCTTCTCTCTTTAGATCTGACTTTCCAATGTAAATAAATATTTTAAAAAAGGAAAATGTTATTAAACTTTGGTTGTACAGCAAAATGTCTTGAGCAACCCAAAAAAGCTTTTCTTCTTGACTAATCCTCCTCTGCTTAGACTGGACTATGCCTATCTTTTGGTATCCATTGCTTTGATTGTGCTTTGTTTTAAGAATTATAATGACAAATCCTTGTTTTATCCTCTGTTACAGTTCTTGGAAAGAAGAAATGTTACAGAATTTTTTCCCCACTTGTATCAAATATGCATGGAAAACTCTGCTTGTCATACACAACTAATTTGGTTGCTACAGATTTTGGTGCCCATTGAGCAGAAAGCTTGTCCCATTCAGAACTGTATAAACTGAAATTGCAAAGATGTCAATGGTGTTTGCCTCTTGTTTTATTTATTTATTTATTTATTTATTTTTGCTTTTAATTATCACTCTTAGAGAACTAGGGAAATTAGTTTTTCTTAAAATTTATTTATTTTTATTGCAAAGTCAGACACACAGAGGAGGAAAGACACAGAGGAAGATCCTTCATCCAGTGATCCATTCCCCAAGTGACTGCAACAGCCGGCGCTGTGCCCATCCAAAACTGGGAGCCAGGAACCTCCTCCAGGTCTCCCACACAGGTGCAGGGTCCCAAGGCTTTAGGCCATCCTCGACTGCTTTCCCAGGCCACAAGCAGGGAGCTAGATGGGAAGTGGAACTGCTGGGATTAGAACCGGCGCCCATATGGGATCCCGGTGCGTTCAAGGCGAGGACTTTGGTTGCTAGGCCACCATGCCGGGCCCAGTATTGTTTTTTTTTAAAAGATTTATGTATTTTTATTATGAAGTCAGATATACAGAAAGGAGGAGAGACAGAGAGGAAGATCTTCCATCCAATGATTCACTCCCCAAATGATCAGCAGTGGCCGGTGCTACATTGATCCGAAGCCAGGAGCTAGGCAATTCCTCTGCATCTCCCAGGTGGATGCAGGGTCCCAAGGCTTTGGGCCATCCTTGACTGCTTCCCAGGCCACAAGTAGGGAGATGGAATGGAAGTGGAGCTGCCGGGATTAGAACCGATACCCATATCGGATCCTGGCGCTTTCAAGGCGAGGACTTTAGCTGCTAGGCCACCATGCTGGTCCCCAATATTTTCTTCTTTAACTGATATGTGTAGTCTGTTGCTGTGATGTATCTTCAGCATTTTCTTTTTCTTTCTTAAAACAGGTTATGTATATTTAAATACTGATTTGGGGGACATTGTTCTCACAGATTTTCATAAAGTCCAATGACTTTACCATTGTTTCACCCAAGCTTTACCATAAATTAGAGTTGGGTTTGCTTCAGTTTGGCAGAATTTTTGTTGCACTGATAGGGCTATTTTCAAAGTTATATGCTTAAATTGATCCCATTTAGTGATTTTATAAAAGTTAGTATGAGCTTGTTTTACTTACTTACCTTTACAGGTTTATTCATTTGTATTTGGAAAGGCAGTTATTCAAAGAGTAGGAGAGAGGAGAGAGAGAAAGAGAGAAAGAAATATTTTCCATCCATTCTCTGATTGACTGCAACACACAGAACTGAGCTGATCCAAAGTCAAGAACCTGGAGCTTCCTCCAGGTCTCCCACATGAATACAGGGATTCAAGGACTTAAGACATACTCCATTGTTTTACAAGGTCAAAAGAAGGAAGCTAGATTGGAAATAGAGCAGACAGGACAGATGCTGGTGCCCATATGGGATGCTGATACCATTGATGGAGTCTTAACCCTGCTACACCATGGTGCTAGACCCGGTTTGAGTTTACTTTAAAATCCTCTCAGATAAATATAATTAATTCATATATGTTTGTAAAAATTCCAGGATTGCAGATATATTTAATTTGCTTCTACTCTGCAAAGTGATTTTAATTAATAAGAAAATAATTTGATGTACATGTGTTACAATATCCTTTCTGTTGTAGCATTGAAGAAGATAACCAAGAACAAGAAAAACAGGTGTGCTTAGCGGAAACTAGCCTAACACCATGGGAGGTGTGGTTTGTTGGCAAAGAGAAAAAAGAACGTGACCGGCTACAACAGAAAGCTCTAGAGGTAAAATTAGATAATGTTCCTTTTATTTAGTTCATGAGCTAACAAAGTAGATATGCTGTTGTTAATTAAAATGCTACTGTTATAATCCCTGAAAAGAAAGTTTTTTCATTTATTGTGTTTAGCAATCCTATGTTTTATAGAAATCTTGTATGTTCAATTAGAAGAACATTTGGAAGATTCAGCTAGAAAATAAAAATTAAAACCTTCACTAATCTCATCATATGAAGACATTGTCTCTATCAACATTATTAATATTATGACATAAGATCTTCCAGATATTCTGTATAAGTTATAAAAAATGCATACAAACATAGGTATTTCAGTGGGACTTTTCTTCTCCTTATGGGTTTTCTTTCTGTGTGATTCTCTTCTTCAATTCTCACTAGCCAAATTCATAAAGCAAAGAGCTTTAGATATATTTTTTCACAAATCCCTATTTTTTTTGAGCTCTTTATTATTTGTTGTTTACTGTTTAGTATTGAGGACCGTACCAGTCAAAAAGATTGAGATCATTTGTCATTTCCTAAACTTACTGAATTATTTTTATCTAATCACAGAAACCAAGTAGACTTGAATGATGGGTGATGCTTCTTGTTTTTAATGAAATAGGATCAAACTTTTTTCAAACCTGGATTATTTTATAACCATTAATTATATTAATATATTTTTACATTGTTAAATATTTTATATTGTTAATCAAAAATAGTAATCTTAAATTGTACTTTGCTTACATTGTATACATACTAAAATATAGTTAACCGATTCATATTGGTTAAATGTGTTTAATCTGTTAGTGACTTGTTGCCATGAGAGTCCTGAGAGCTGAGCTTTTGCTTCTTACCATATCAGTTTTGAAACTAGATGTTACTGCGTGTTGACTTTTCAAGCAATTAAGCAGTCACATGTTCAGAAGTATGGCATGTTCAAACGGCTATGAAAAGTTATTATATTCTGCCATTTTGTTAACACATGATACCTCATATTCTAGAACTCCTGAAAAAGTTTACTGAGAGAATAAATCTTTCCTTTTAGCAGAGCACAGGACTTGTAAATGGCCTTATGGTTTAGTGTCAAGCTTAATAAAAGCTCTAGTTCTAACCTTTCTGCTTGCTGTAAGATCTTAAATGAGTCATTTACATGTTTATACTTCAGTTTTTTCTATCTGTGTGAGAGAAATAAAACGATACCTCTAAAAGAGTTTTTTTGTGAGGGATAAGTGAATTACAGTTCTAAAGTGTAAAGATGAGCTTTTTTTTAAAGGATATTTTTAAGGAGTTATTTATTTTTATGTGAAAGGCAGAGTTACAGTGAGTGAGAGGCAGAGGTAGAGAGAGAGGAATCATCCATCTGCCAGTTTACTTGCCCAGTGGCTGAAATGACCAAGGTTGGGCAGGCCGAAGCTGGGAGCTGGGAACTTCCTCAGGTCTCTCGTGGTAAAGAGCCCTAAGCATTTGAGCCAACCTCTGTTGCTCTCCCAGGCCATTAGCTGGGAGTTGGATTGAAAGTGGAGTGACTGGGACTTGAACTGGAGCTCTAATGGGATGCCAGCATTGCGGGTGACAGTTTAACCCATTACGTCACAGCACCAGTGCCCTCCTTTGTTTTAATTACTGTTATTGCTTATATTATTACTTTTTATAGCCTTCTTCAGCCTTTTTCACTCATTTTCAGAATGGATCTTTTAAATCTTAAAATTGGTAACTCCTTTTTTTTTTCAATGACTTTAAAAAATATTTGTTGGGCCTGGCGCAATAGCATAGTCCTTGCCTTGTATGTGCCAGGATCCCATATGGGCACTGGTTCTAATCCCTGCGGCCCTGCTTCCCATCCAGCTCCCTGCTTGTGACTGGGAAAGCAGTCGAGGACAGCCCCAAAGCTTGGGACCCTGCACGTGCATGGGAGACCCGGAACAGCTCCTGGCTCCTGGCTTAAGATTGGCTCAGCTCCAGCCATTGCGGTCACTTGGGGAGTGAATGAGCAGACGAAAGATCTTTCTGTGTTTCCTCCTCGCTGTGTGTCTGACTTTGCAATAAAAATGAATAAATCTTTAAAAAAAAAAACTTTGTTGATAGTAAGGGATGTAGTTTTCTTCATTTTATACCTAAAGGCTTAGCTATAAATACATGTGTCTGAAATAATATCCATCTAAAAGCCAGTATTGTACTTCTTAAAGATTTATTTATTTTTATTGGAAAAATAGATTAATAGAGAGGAGGAGAAACAGAAAGCTAGAACTTGCATCTGCTGGCTTACTCCTCCTCAAGTAGCTGCAACAACCAGAGCTCCTGATTTGGAACCAGGAGCCCAGGCCTTCTTCTAGGTCTCCCACATGGGTGCAGGGTCCTAAGGCTTTGGGTGGTCATCGACTGCTTTCCCAGGTCACAAGCAAGGAACTAGTTGGGAAGCAGGGCCACTGGGATATGAACTGGTGCCCATATGGGATTCTGGTTTGTGCAAGGCAAGGACTTTAACCCCTAGGCTACAGTGCTTGCCCCACCCTCTTTTTAAGATGATTCATAACTGGCATTTTAAGGTGATTTAATAGCTGGCATTGTGGTGCAGTAGGTTAAGCAACACATTGCAGTGCCAGCAGCCAATATCAGTGCCTATTAGAGTGCCGCCTGATGCACTTCTGATTCAGCTCCCTGCTAATGTGCCTGGGTGTGCAGGAGATCACCCAAGTATTTGGGCCCCTGCCTCCCACAAGGCCAGACGCAGATGGAGTTCTTTGCTTCTGGCTTCAGCCTGGCCCAGCCCTGGCCATTATGGCCATTATGGCCCTTTGACTCAGCAGTTAGAAGAATTCTGTTCCTCCTGACCTCCCTCTGTCTCTGAGTTTACAACTCTGCCTTCCACATGAATAAATATCTTTAGAAGAATAAATTGACTTTAGACTCAATTTAGAAAATGCTGTTGTATAGTGAGTAAATTAGAACTAGTAGTAAAGCAGAATTTATTTATCTCTAGTCACTTGCTACATGAAGAAGAAGAGAGTCACATCAAATTATTCTCAGTTCAGTACAAAGAATATTAAACCACACACAAAAATAGTAACAGCCTGGGCTTTGGAGTTACATAGAACAAGGCTGAACATTTACTTTTCTGAGTATGTAACAATGAAAAAATTACTGAAATTGTCTTTATACTTGTTTCTCTACCATCTGTCAGATGATAGAGAAGCAGTAATGAAGTGGTTACAGGCACAAACATTTATTTATTTGAAAAGCAGTTTGAGAAAGAGGGAGCACCATCCAGGTCACTAAATGGGTGAGAGGTGCCGGAACACTTGGTCTCTCCTCTACTCTTTTCCGGGTGTGTTAGCAGGGAGCTGGATTGGAAATAGGGCATCCTGGAATGTTAGACTGGCATCGCAAGTGGTAGCTTATCACGGCATACCACATGCCGACCCCAAATGCACCAATTCAGTCATTTATGGGCTGGTGTGTTGTGTAGTATATAGAACTGTCACCTGCAATGCTGGAATGCCCTGTGGGCTCTGGTTCTAGTCCCTGCTGCTCTACTGCTAATCTAGCTTCCTGCTCATTGTCTGGGAAATTCTCAGAAGACAACCCAAGTATTTGGGCCCTTGCCATGTGGAAACCCAGAGGAAACCCCTGGTTCCTGATGTTGAACTGGCCTAGCTCTGGCTATCTGGGGAGTCATCTGGGGAGTAAACCCTTGGATGAAATATCTCTGTTTCCTCTTCTCTTTGCAATTCTGACTTTCAAGTAAATAAATAAATAAATAAATAAATAAATTTTTTAAAAGAAATGCAAAAGGATAGAGAGGAAGAGAGAGCAAGAGAATGAGCCGCCATATACTTGTTCATGCCCCCATAGCTGCAATAACTCAGAGCAACTGTTTTAAAAAACAAAAGATATATCCGTGATGTCATGTTTCACCTTCGTTTAAGACAAAGGAATCAGTCTGAGATCTGGGCGATTCTCCTTCCCTCTGCTGTTCATACCCAGAGAAGTACGTCTCTGGGAAAAGGAAGAATGAGTTGAAGTGTAGGAGACCAGTGGAGGACTCGTAAAAGTATCTAATTATTAGAATCTAAGGTGAGAGAGAGAAAAGACAAATAACTACCAATTATGGTTGTAGCATTCCTAGAGGAGTCTAGTTTGAACAGCATCCTCAACCAATGCAGTGATACACCTGATGAGTGATGGAGTGGTGGCATTCAGCTTACAGTTTTATTTGGCCATACCGTTCACATTCTTTCTCCTTAGGAATGCCCAAACGTGTAGATTCGAGGGACAGTGAGGCAGTTAAATAACCTGGGATATGAATGTGGTTTTATTTTACACTCCACAAACTATAAAATCAGTTATGAAAACTCTGGATTTTTTTTCCCCTAAGGAAAATGGAATAGCTTCTCTACATTTATTCTTTGGTTTAACTCTGAATTACAGCTTTAATTTAGGGATTATTTAATTCCTATCCTTTATCTTCATTAAGAATCTAGAAACTTTTTATGACTAAAAAAAAATAATTTCTCTTGAGCTATTGCCAATTACTTACAGTCATGCCAAAATTTATGTATGGGAAAGTTGATCTCAATGAACGCAATTTAGCTGAAGTTTAGTCTGAGAAACTAGTGTATTGCTGCAAGCGATTACTTATATTTCTATCAAAATAGCCGAAACTCTTAATCAATGCTTTTTTTCATCATAGACTACTTATTTAAATAAATTATTGTCATTAGTGATATGTGTTCTAGAAAGGAAACTATCTTACTATTTAAAATAGTTAACTTTAGCCTTTTGAAAAATATGGAATGTAAGTCTCTTATTAAATGATGTGTTTTATTTAAATAAAATCCACAGGAATTAAATCGACAACTAGAAAAAAGAAAAGAAATGGAAGAACGTGAAAAAAGAAAAATAATTGCTGAAGAAAAGCATAAAGAATGGGTGCGGAAAAAGAATGAGCAGGTAAAGAGGAGACACGCACACACACACTGACATCTGTTCGGCAAAGTCTTTGTGTTTTTTCTCTTTACTCATTACCTAGATGTTTCTTATTTTTCTCTGGACTTTTTATTCTCTGGACCCATCACTGCTCCTCTCCCCTTCCCTCCCCAACAACCCTCAGAGACATTTACCAAGTCTGAGCCTTTTGCCCTTTTGTCTTTTTCCTCTCCTGTGATGCCTGCAGGTAGGCATCAGTGCCGGATAGCTGAACCTGACTTTCTGGAGTCATGGATTTCTGTCTGTTAGGTCACTGGCCAACTCCTAAACTTGTACAACCAAAACAACCTATTTTTGACAAGTATATCTTCATGGAACCGTTTTCCTAACTTTTCTGTTTCTTTTGTTAATTCTTTTGTTTTCTTTTTCACCTAAGCATAATCACAATTCTTATATTGTTCCTAAATATTACTTCTTGCTTTTCCGTTTATTTGAAAGGTAGAGTGAACAGAAAGAGGGGAGACAGAGGCATCATCTGTCTTCTTGGTTCATTTCCCTAATAACTGAGACATCCAGATATGGGCCAGAGCAGAACCAGGAGACAGGAACTCTGATCTTCCTCCTGGGTGCAGCAACTGTCTTCTGCTGTTTTTCCCGGCACAGTAGCATGGAGCAGAGTCCAAATGGAGTTGCTAAGGTTTGATCAGACACTAATTTGAGATCTGGCATTGAAAATGAAATTTTAATGTGCTGTACCATGACCCTGCCCTTTAATTTCCTTGTTTTTTAATTAAAGCGTTATTAGCAAAATTTATTTTATTTTATTTTTAATATTGTTTACATAGTTGAGAGGGATGCATGCCCATATGGGCCTCTGATTAGAGTGGGGAGATACAAATGGGAAGGAAGCTGGGTGGAACATATGCTTCAGATTTTTTTTTTCCTCTCTTATGTCTGTAGGAGAGGAGTGGAAGAGGGCAGGTCCTTGCTGTCAAACTTCATCAGCATTTGGGAATGAGGCATGATCATCTGAGACCCCAGTGTGGGGAAGAGTGTTCCGAGTATATTATTTGAGTGGTTTTGAAAGTTCTGAGAAGTTGTTGGTTTCATTGTTCAAGGGCTGAGAAAATCATTCCAAGGTCTATTGATTGATGCAGTTAGTGCATCCACAGACCCAGGAGCATGCTCCAAAGCTTAGTCAGTCCCAGCTCGTGCTTTTACCAATGGCTGCAGCCCAGTGGAGGAGTCCCGAGAGTTTCCCTCCCATGTCCATGTCCAACCCTGAGTTTTGCACACGCTGGAAGGTGCTTCCATCCAGCCTGGTGTGATACACATGCAGTCTCAGTTTTCGTTGGTGGCTGTTGCAGCCGAGCCGAGCCGAGCCAAGCTGAGCCGAGCACAGCCCAGCCCATTCCCTCTCCTTGATCTTGTGTGTTCCAGCGGGTTCCAGGGCCTGGCCCAGCCTGCTCTGGCCCGCCCACAGTCCCAGCTGCTGTGCTTCCCAGTGGAGATTGCAGGCTAGTAGGGTAGTTCACTAAGTTCCCTACCAGACCTTCTCCCAGCCCCAGATCTCGTGCATGCCAGCAGGGGCAGTGGCTCTGCATGGCATGGTCTGCTCTCAGTCCCAGCCCTTGCAAGTGCTAGCAGGTGTTGCCGCTTGGCCGCACCTGTCCTTCTCCCAACTCCAGCTCCTGTGAGTCCTGAGTATTTTCCTGTCAGATAAGTTCTGTGGTCCAGCCTGGCTTGCTCCATCACTGCCCCAGCCCTCTGCACAAATTGGCAGATGCTATAGGCCTAGAGAGGCAAGCCCACAAGTTCCTTACAGAATCCACCTCCAGATCCAGTTCTCTTGAATTCTGGTGGGTGCAGCAGCTAAGCCTGACATGGCCCAACACTTACGGGCTGGTACTGCAGCCTAACACAGTATTGCGGCCTAACCTAGGTACTGTGGCATGTCCACCCATCCACCACAACCCCACCCCAAGTCTCAGCTTCTTGCAGCACCCATGGGTAGTGGGTGATGTTATTTAGCCCACTCCAGTTTTCCCATGTGGGCTGATTCCTTGGCCTGACCCAGACATGCCACCTGGCTTCTATCTTCTAAACCATGCTGTCTCAGCTTGCTCACCTACTTGTGAGTTCAGTGGCCTGGTCTGTGGAAGACTCCAGAAGTCATTCCTTCAGTGTCAAACATACCCTCAGCCACTGCCACTCTCATACATCTCCACACCCGCTTCCTCAGGCAGTCTGTAGGTCCCCATCCCCGGGAACTTGGATGGAATGTCCTGGCACAGTTTCCCACTTCCCTCCTTAAAAAAAAGGATGAGAAACTCTGTTGGCATACTGATATAGTGAACACAAATTTGGCATTAACCAGGCCCTAGAATGCCAGCACTGGCCGCTTTTCTCCCAATAGTGTAACTCTTGCCTAAGTACAAGGCAGCTTGGACAATTGACTACAGCTGCTTTTTAAAAACAATTATTACCACCTTTCTAAATGGTCTCATTATATCTTTAAGAAAGTGTGTGTGTGTGTGTGTGTGTGTGTGTGTGTGTGTGTGTGTGTGTTCGCGCCAGTGAGTCCCCACTGTCCTCTGAATAAGATTTTAACATCCCTAGGCTTCCTGGTTAGTGTCACCTACCCTTTACTCTCCCTGAGTCACACTTCCCTTTCAACCTTCTTTCCCTCCTGTCATTCTTTTTATTTCAGGCTGTTGCTTCCTATTGGGATGTTTTGGAGAGCAAAAATATGTGATAACAATGACCTATTCTTAAGGAGTATTACTTTGAGTGAATGGTTTTTAGGAAAAAAATTTTATTTTGTGCTGAACAGGCAAAGATTTGTCAATACAAAACATAAATTTCATATTGTTTTATATACAAATTGATCTTGCAGAAATCTTGAGCTTTTGGGCTCCACTTCCTAGTACCCTGAATGTGTGTTCTTGAGGAATTTCCGGAGTTCTTTTGTTCTACGTTTGGTTCAACTTCTGGATTTTCATGTTAGTATGTGACCTCACTCTTTGTAAAGAATTTGTTGATCATGTACTAGAATCTTTCCTGTGAATCCTGATTCAGTTTGTAACATTTTCATGTACTTTATCATAAGCTGTCTTTTATTTATATGTATGTTTTTTGTTGATGTTAATTTTTATATACCTTTTAATATAAGATATACCATAATGCCTCGCATACAATAATTGTAATAAGTACATGTTAATTGAATGCATGTGTGAATGATTTGCCTTTCCATTTTAATGCATTTTAAATTGAGTTACACATAGAAATTTAAACAATAATTATTACTCTATAGTGAGTTGTCTTCTGTTGTAATTTTCACATATTTAGAGTGGCTCAGGTTTTATTATTTAAGTATTTAGACAAATGTTTAAATTATAGGAAGAATTTTAAAATTTCAATTCGGGCCAGCATGGTGCAATAGCAAGCTAATTCTCTGCTTGCAGCACCGGCATCTCATATGGGTGCCACTTGGGTTCCAGGTGCTCCACTTCAGCTCTAGTTCCCTGCTTAGAACTAGAGCTGGCCTGGGAAAGCAGTGGATGGTCCAAAGCCTTTGGTCCCTGCACATACGTGGGGCACCTGCAGGAAGTTCCTGCCTCCTGTCTGTGGACTGGCCGAGTTCTGGCTATTGCAGCCATTTGGGGACTGAATCAGCAGATGAAGGATATTGCTCTTTGTTTCTCCTTCTCTCTTTTTCAGTAACTCTTTCAAGTAAAATAAGTAAATCTTTTTTTTAAAGATTTATTTATTTTTATTACAAAGTCAGTTATACAGAGAGGAGGAGAGACAGAGAGGAAGATCTTCTGTCCGATGATTCACTCCCCAAGTGAGCGCAACGGCCAGCGCTGTGCCGATCTGAAGCCAGGAACCAGAAACCTCTTCCAGGTCTCCTACGCAGGTGCAGGGTCCCAAAGCTTTGGGCCATCCTCGACTGCTTTCCCAGGCCACAGGCAGGGAGCAGGATGGGAAGTGGAGCTGCTGGGATTAGAACCGACGTCCATATGGGATCCCGGTGCATTCAAGGCGAGGACTTTAGCCAGTAGACCACGCTGCCGGGCCCAAATAAGTAAATCTTTTAAGAATATTTTCAATTTTTTTTGTCCTGAACTATTGTTGAGTCTAAAGTTCAGTAATACTCAGTGGGAGTGTCAAATAAATGGTTAGCACATTACAGATGACATAGCTTTTTTCATTTAGGTATCATAAAAAGTAAAAATTTTTAGATCTATGTATGTGTTGTAACCGCAAATTTATTTGTTACATCAGAGTCACTGATTGTGATTTTCAAGTTTGTATCATTTAATAATGTAATTTTTAAAAAGTACTTTTTGAGTAAATACTGAAATGTAAGTAAGTCTGTGATCACTACCAAACTTTGGAAGGTTTTTTTGAAGTTTATAACTATGAAACAAAATAGTTTTACATATGCAGAGCAGTATTCTCTGTCCTCTGAAAACCCCTTTATAGGACAAATCCATTAAGTTAATTTTACCGTGCCAATCATAGTTGCTGTTTGTCTAAGAATTTAAGATACTCCCGAGACCTAGATGATATATTCCCTGTTTTAATTAGTGGCAATAGACCTAATCCAATTATGTGAGGGGGGGGGAAATTCTTTCTTTTGGAGAAAAGTGGCTTGCCCTCACATAAATCACTAATTATTGAAGGCAAGATCCCAAAAGATTGAGGATAGTTAAAAAATGAACACTGAGAAATTAAGTTTTCCTTCTTGGCAGAACTCTTTGTACATGTTATGGTATAATTGATTACTCTAACTTTTTTTTTTTTCTTTAAAACCTATCCGATTTCTTATTTTAGCCCTAGTTACATTTACCTCTGTTTGTAGAGACTTCTCCTGGTTCTTCTCTTCCTGTCTGGGATCTAGCTATTTTTCTCTTGTGTTTACATTACATGGTGTGTGGTCCTCTGCTGCCTCCAGCTTCATTCACATTTTAGCTGTATCTGTGACTGCTATTTTCTCTAAGTCAATTTCACTGTTTTAT